TGTTGATTTCCAACTCTGGAGGTTTAGGACTGACTTCTTCCTGGCTCCCTTACCACACATGGCACCTCTGCATCTCTACAGCCTTCTAATAGAATTCTGTTTTAATTTTGGTCAGGTCATTCCTTACCACTGATGTCTTGTGACTGTGCATGCCATGCTGAGTTATGTAATAAGCCAGAGTTACTTTTCCTGTTCAACCTTTTGTTTTCTAGGAGTTAATAACATATTGTGTTTATTTGCATTATAAGTTGGTGCTGATTACTGCGCAGAGTCTGGAGCACTGGCCCTCTGGCTCCCGTGGTGAATTCTGTCCTGTCTCCCTGTAGCCCATGTTTTCCTTTTTGGACTTCTCTGTTTTGGTTGAACGCATCTTCCAGTAGCCTGAGAAAGGTACATGGAAGGTAGAAGGTTTTGAGATTGAGATCTTCTACATCTGAAAATTCATTCTTCTGTTCTACAGTTGAGAGTTTGGCTGGCTGTAGACTTCTAAATTGAAAATAATTTTCCTTCAGAATCTTGAAGGCATTTATTTTTTGTCTTTTGCTTCCAATGTTGCTCTTGAGAAATCTGAAGCCATTCTGATTGTTTTGGTTCTATCTACATGACCTCTCCCCTGCCCTTCCATGTAGGATATTATTTTGTCACCACCATATTTTTATTAATAATCTTCTGTTATTGTTGTTAAACCCAACCCATATGCCTAGAACAGTGTCTGGCGCGGAGTTGGGCAGAGTAAGTGCTGACGGAGTGGATGGATGTGGCTGCTCTGGGCTAGTGGACGGCTCACCTCCCCCTTTGGAGGCACGGGCCTGGCGGTGCTTGTGGGCTGGGCCCTCTAGCTCCTCTCTCTCTGTTCCCAGCTCCATTCCTGCTCGCTCAGTCTCCGCTGTACAGAACTGTCCGCTCTCAATTTGCCAGTTTCCATCGTCTCTACCAGGACTTAATTGTCATAACTCTGAAGATTTTTCTCTTTTATTTAATATATTTATTTATTTAATCCTTATCTGAGGACACTTTTCCATTTTTTGTTCAGATAGAGTGGGAGGGAGAGAGAGAAAAAGAAACATCGGTGTAAAAGGGACACATCTCGTGGTTGCCACTCGCACGACCCAACCAGGACCAGGGACAAACTGCAACCAAGATACGTGCCCTTAGCGGGAACCAAACCCAGGTCTCTCTGGACCGCAGGCCGACGCTCTAACCGCTGAGCCAAACCGGCCAGGGCAAGAGTTCTCTTTTACTCACTGTGTGTTAGCATGAGTGAAAAACTCACTCTTATCATAAGGAACAAGTGTGTTAAAGGACAATTTTAGTACGTGGTTGTGTGTAGTAGGAGTATTTTCTGTTTTGTGTTATTACCTCTGCTCGGATTACTTCAAAGTGGAGGTAAAGCAACAGAATATGCAAATTAATGTTTTGTCTAATATGTGGTCAGACCTGAATACCAGAGGGTTGAGAGTCTTTGTGTGTTGTGATGCTCCCCCCACCCGCTCGTCACTGCCAGGTTCAAACCCTGCCTCCTGTTATAAAGAACCTGTGACCAGACTGAGATCTGAGATGGTACAGTTGCCTTTTCCATCTTGTGTTAAGTTGGACATGTAGGGATGTAATTATCATCATCATTATTATTGATCTTAGAAGAAGGGAGGGAGAGAGAGAAACATCAATAGGTTTCCTCCTGCATGCACCCCAACTGAGGATCAGATCCACAACCTAGGCATGTGCCCTGACTGGGAATTGAAACTGGAACCTTTTGGTGCATGGGATGACGCTCAACCAGCTGAGCCATACTGGGCAGGGCAAGGGAGGGTATTTTTGAGACTGTACCATGTTCCAAGTCAGGTGGCTATCTATGTCACTGAATGAGTGGGGACATTGAGGCCCTAAGAGTCGGTGACATGGCTGGTGAGAGAAGCAAAGGGACTGAGTTCACATTGCCTAGCTCTAAAATGCTCCACTTGTTCATTGGGCGCATACTTACTGCCTGCCTTGGAGAGAGGGTCAGCTGCACACCTGCCACCCACCTTGGAGGGTCTGGCATGGGTCTGGTTGGTTCACTGTCCACTGAGTCACCTGTAGGCTTATGAGACTGGTTACATAGTTCTGAAGGAAATGAAATGGGTTTCTTGAAATTCATTTGTCTAATTGAGGCATACCCTCAAAGTGATTTTTTTCTCATTTTGCTTTGATTTTTTTCTTTCTGCACATAAGTCTTACTTTTTATGGTTTTTCTACTGCCATTTCAACCCTCTGCCCCTCCCTCTTTCCCATAAACAGAACTGCCCTCTCTTCTTTTCAGTCACCATTGTGATCTGTAGAGGTGTGACACTGACCTTTATAATTGGACAGGATTTACTCGGACCCAGATGTAACTTATCACCTGTTCATGCCCCAAGAGCTTTTATTTTCCAGGGCTGGTTTGAGTAATGATGTTGTTGTCATTTATTAGGTCTAGAGATTGCCCTTTCCATTGCCCTGGGTTTACTATTGTAGGAAAAGACTCTAAGAAGTTGCTGGAGAGGTGTTTGGCTTTCTCAGGAGGGGCAAAGATCCTTATGCTGGCTGAGGCCTGGGAGTAAGTGCAGTGGATCTCTGATGGATTGTTCTGTGTCATTGTCACCCGAAGCCCTCTGCCCTTCCTTGACAGCCTGCCTTCTCCATCCTCACCCCCAGGCTCTTGCCCACAGAACACAGAAGACAGGTGTCCTGTACCCTCACTCTCTCTCTCTAGTCTTGTCACTGTGCCAACTTACCACCACCCTCATCTGCAACTGCAGCTGCAGCTGCTTATAAGCTGTGGGTGCTTTCCACCTCACCTTGTCCTATTGCCCCCTCGGCTGGCAGTGCCCTCCGAATTTGATAAGACTGGCATCTCCTCTGCAGTGAGACTGCCCACTGTTCCCTCAGCCCCCTACCCAATGCCCACCGTGAAGATCCTGTCACTGTGCCTTCAGCTCTTGGTGCACATGGTGTTTCATGTTGCCATCTGCCAGCCGGCCAGTCCCTCAGGGTGAGGGCCTGGTCAGAATACATCTGGTAAGCCCTGTACTGTCTGATTTGGGAAAGAAAATAAGAAAGGTTGTGCCATTTGGAAATTGTACATAATAGTTCGCTGCCAGAGGTGGAGAAGGATGCCTTCAGTTTTATTTCCCTCTTCCTCTGGGGACCTCTGCTCTGAGGTTCCTCCTCTTCACTCTGGGAACCATAGGCAGTGCTGAGACCAGCACTTGAACCTCCTGGTGTTAAGTCTTGTACACTGGACCCCAGTCCTCACTCATGTGCCCTTAGCAGTGACTGTGTGACAGTCTAGAGTGTCAGGTAGAACAGGACAGATGAAGTCCTGCTCTGGAGCTGCCAATGCCGTTGAGAGCCCTGAGCTCAGTAAAGGCATCCCAAACGGTACCTGCCTTTTTTTATTTTAGAGAGAGAGAGAAAGGAAAGGAAACATTGATTTTGTTGTTCCACTAATTTATGCATTCATTGGTTGATTCTTTTATGTGCCCTGAATGGGAATTGAACCTGCAACCTTGGCATATCAGGACAACGCCCTAACCAACTGAGCTGCCTGGCCAGGGCATTCCCTGCCTTCTAAGTGGAGCGTATGTTCACGGGTGTAGAAGACCGTAGGTGAGAAGAATATGGTTCAGGTAGTGGAAGTGCTTGGAAGAAAGTCACCCGACATATAGCCTGACTTCAGCCCAACACTCTTCCTGAGCAGGCTTTTTTCTTTCCAGCTTAATTCTGGCAGTTAAAACATACACAACACCAGAGAGGGCAGTAAATGAACTATGCTCGGGCTCAGCAATCATCACCATTTTGCTGACACCGTTTTATATGCCCCTTCGTTTCCCTTCTCCTCTCTCACTATCCAATTTCAAGTCTGTTCTGATAATCCTGTGCCCTTGGCTGGCCTACCCCAGTGGGCATGCTGGGCCCTTGTCCTCCTGAGTCTTTTTAAAAAAATTGATTTGAGAGAGAGAGAGGAAGGGACAGAGAGAGAGAGAGAGAGAAACATTGATGTGAGAGAGAAACATTGATTGGTTGCCTCCTGCATGCACCCTTATTGGGGACCGAACCCCAACCTGGGCATGTATCCTGACTGGGAATCGAACCGGCGAGCTTTCAGTAAACAGGACGAAGCTCAACCAAGAGCCACACTGGCCAGTGACATCGGATCATCCTATGTCACTCCCTGGTGTTGCAGACACTCTGGTCCTTCTCCCCCGCCTCTGATTGTTCTGCATTTCTTTGCTGGCTTCCTTCCTTCTTCCTTCTGTGACCATTTTTCAAGGCATTGTCTGGTAAACAAGTTACCAAGAATTTACTGTCCCTCCTGCATTTCATTCAGGAAAAATAAAGTTTGTAAACATTTAGAGAAAATTTTGTTCACTGAGGGCTGTGTGTTTTGCATATTTTGTTGCTTTTAATCTTTGGCATTAATTTCTTTTTTTTTTGTTTTTTTTTTTTTTTTTTTTTTTTTTTTAAAAAAAAAGAAACAGTCTGCTTTTTTTTTAATCCTCATCTGAGGACATTTTTCCATTTTTTTGCACAGACAGAGTGGGAGGGAGAGAGAAGAAGAGAGAGAGAGAGGGAAACATCGATGTGAAGGGACACATCGAGTGGCTGCCACCCGCACGACCAACCAGGGCTGGGGACAAACTGCAACCGAGGTACATGCCCTTAGCGGGAACCGAACCCGGGCCTCTCCGGACCGCAGGCCGACGCTCTAACCGCTGAGCCAAACCGGCCAGGGCATCTTTGGCATTAATTTCTATTGCTGTCATTCTTTTCATTAAAAAATTCAGACATTAGCCAGAAAAGTAATTAAATTGATTTGCAAAGGAAAAATAGAAACAGTCTAGAATATTAAATCAAATACACATACTTGTTCTTTGCCTACAAAAATATTAACTTAAGTCTTTGCACGTGTATTTTATTAAACATGTAACATGAATTAAACCTGTATTGAGATATCTGCTTTTTGTCGTTTTCCATTGCAGAATGTATGACAACATGTCCACAATGGTGTACGTAAAGGAAGACAGACTGGAGAAGCTTACGCAGGATGAAATTATTTCTAAGACAAAGCAAGTAATTCAGGGGCTGGAAGCTCTGAAGAATGAACACAATTCCATTTTACAAAGTTTACTTGAGACACTGAAGTGTCTGAAGAAAGATGATGAAAGTAATCTGGTGGAGGAGAAATCAAACATGATCCGAAAGTCACTGGAGATGTTGGAGCTTGGCCTGAGTGAGGCACAGGTATAAGTGAGCGCTGTGCAGGCATGAGCAGGACTTGACGGTCTGGAGCACTGGAGACTCGTTTGAATGTGCAGTTTAACTAAACTAGAATGAAGATACTTCCAGAATAACAGATCAGCTAGTGTGTGGGTTATGTCTGTTATGTAAATGATAGTTAATTTGGGCATGTCTAAATTTTGAAGTATTATTTTAAATTGATTTTTAGAGAGAGAAGAAAGGAGAGGGAGAGATAGAAACATCTATAACAGAGAAACATCGACTGACTGGCTGCCTCCTACATGACTCCTGCTGGGGATTGAACGCACAACCCAAGTATGTGCCCTGACTGGGAATCAAACTGATGACCTCTTGGTGCATGGGATGATGCTCAGTCCACTGAGCCACACTGCTGGGCTGGGCATGTCTAAATTTTTTTTTTATCCTCACCTGAGGACATTTTTCCATTTTTTGTTCAGATAGAGTGGGAGGAAGAGAGAGAGAGAAACATCTATGTGAAAGGGACACATTGAGTGGTTGCCACCCACACAACCTAACCAGGGCCGGGGACAAACTGCAACCGAGGTACGTGCCCATAGCGGGAACCGAACCCGGTCTCTCTGGAATGCAGGCCGACACTCTAACTGCTGAGCCAATTCAGCCAGGGCATGGGCATGTCTAAATTTTACAAAGTAGAGCCAACGGGTGTGTCTTTAGGACTGGATTTGGCTGCATATACCAGAAAACGAAAACTGGCTTAAATATCATATACTGTGTAAAAGAAACACCAGGGTGGCTCTTCAGTTGGTCTGCAGCTGCTCGGTCCTCAGGGACACTCAAGACCCTGCCACCCCTATCCTCCCAGGCAGCCGGTCTCCTGGACTAAGACAGCTCCAGCTACAGCCATGTGACCCTGTTCTAGCGCAGAAGGGACAGGAAGGGTGAGTCCCCTCCCTTCCTCCAGCTTGTGTCTAGCGCTCTGCTTGTACTTCGTTGGCAGAACTTGGTTCCACAGCCACACCTAGTGTGGGGGAGCCTGGGGAGTGCCATCTTGCCCACTGAAAGTGCCAGGTTCTGAAGCCTAAGGAAGATGGGAGAATGGATATTGGCTGACAGCTATGGTTCCTGTGATACCGAAGACAAATGGCAGTGTAGATTTGACTGAACCTTCATTTCTGTCGTGCTAGCATAGAGATGGAAAATGTGGAGACATGTAGGTGTCCCCCTCGCCCCATAACTTTCGGCTCTGCCAACAGATTTTAGGTCATGTTAAATAGACTAGTACTTGTCTCCTTTCTCCCTTGACTGTCTTCTTGTCAGCGAGTGAACAGAGCGGCAGTGGGTGCTGGCTCACCATGTCCTGCTTTGAGGAGGACCTCCTCCACACCTGTGTCTGCATGCTCGTTCTAGAGTCCTCCATCCCAACCCTGTCACAGATGCCATTGAGAGAGTTTGAACCTTGTGTAGTTGTTGTGAATCGGTTATTTTGCAGGTTCTGTAGTTGAAAAGCGACAGAATATGAACCTTTTTAATTTGGCAAATGTTCAGTTTCTGGTCTTAAACTTGGGAGGATAAGGAAGGGGGCAGGCCAGGTGCAGTCTAAAGAGAGTGAACGGAAGCCAGCTTCCCAGCTCTCTCTCATGCTCCCAGGAATGTGCAGAGGTCTGTCTCTGAAGCTGGCCAGTGCCCTGAAGGCAAGAGTCGTGGAGCAGCTGCCACGTTTAAGACAGGGACCTAATGACGTGCTGATGTGCACTTCAGAGCCTTCTGACCCTTGATGCTAGCTGCAAAGATTTCTTTCCTTTCCTTGGGACATGGAAAATCTGCTTGCCCACCCTCCCCCAGCTCCACCCCAACGCCGCACAGAGTGACCTGTACTCTGCGCACATTGGCAGGCATGTGCACACTGTCCCTTGGGGCAGGGTCTGCGGGAAGCTGTTTTGGAGCTGTCAGGATGGGAGCAGAGTGTACAGTTCTATCAGGAGAGTGGCTGTGTATTCACTGCTAGTCCATTTGAGATACTTAGTCAGAAAAACTGTCTAGTTTTCGTAGATGTTCTGGGCATGTGATATTCTTTTTTTTTTAAATCCTCACCCAAAGATATTTTTTATTTATCATCAGAGTGGGAGGGAGGGAGAGAGAAAAACATCGATGTGAGAGGGACACACTGACTGGTTGCCTCCCCCATGACCCGACCAGGGCCGGGGACGAGCCACAACTGAGGCACATGCCCTTGACTGGAATTGAGCCCGCAACTCATTGGTCCGCGGGCTGACACTCTAACCGCTGAGCCAAACCAGCCAGGGCAGGTGATACTCTTTATTGTGTCCCGTGTGTAGTCTATGACTGAGGGTGGAATGAGGAGTAAATTGCAAGGTGTGCTTCGGGGAAACACACCTGCAGGTGTAAGCCACAAGTACGATGCCTGTATGGAGGGAGGCTCTGTTTGCTGGACAGCTGCTGCATGCTGGGCCATCTGTCTGCAGGTCATGATGGCTCTGTCCAACCACCTGAATGCTGTGGAGTCAGAGAAGCAGAAGCTGCGTGCGCAGGTCCGCCGTCTGTGCCAGGAGAACCAGTGGCTGCGGGACGAACTGGCCAACACACAGCAGAAGCTCCAGAAGAGTGAGCAGTCTGTGGCCCAGCTGGAGGAGGAGAAGAAACATCTGGAATTCATGAATCAGCTGAAAAAATACGATGACGACATTTCTCCGTCTGTAAGTGGTTCTGTGGGAGCGCACTGTTGACAGTCCTGCAGGATGTCGGAAGGGGGCTTCAGCGCAGCTGCGAGAATCGTCTCTCCCCTCTAGTGATCACATTTAGCAAGATAAGGTGTTATGGTCCTGGGACTGAGCCTCTGGGGAAGTCATAGAAGTTCTCTCTCTTTTTGTTTTTATTTTATTTTTCTTTTCCTTTCCCTTTCCTTTTTTATTCTCACCCGAGGACATCCCTCCATTTTTTGTTCAGATAGAATGGGAGTGGGAGAGAGAGAGAGAGAGAAACATCGACGTGAAAGGGACACATCGAGCAGTTGCTACCCTCACAACCCAACCAGGGCCGGGGACAAACTGCAACCGAGGTACATGCCCTTAGCGGGAACTGAACCTGGGTCTCTGGACCACAGGTTGATGCTCTAACCACTGAGCAAAACCGGCCAGGGCTCTCTTTTTGTTTTTAAATCAGTTTTTTTCATTGATTATTAAAAGGAGTGGAAGGGGGAGGAGAGAGAGAAACATCATTTGTTTGCCTCATGCATATGCCCCTGCCAGGATCAAACCTACAACCTGAGTATGTGCCCTGACCAGGAATCAAACCTGAGACCCCCTTGGTGAGCCACACCAACCAGGGCCATAGAAGTTATCTTTGCTATATTCTTTTCATATGTGTTTCTTAGAAGAATGGTCAGAAAATGTAAAAATAGTCTAACTATAAAGTTCACGGCAGATAGGCACCATTGCCTTCCATGAGGTCTGCCCCAGCTGGAGGTCTGAATGTCCTGACCCATTGCAGTCTGGTGTCCATGCCCGTCATGCTGCTGGAACTCTTTCCTTCAGGTCAATGATGACCCGACCCATGCGCCTATAATCCAGAGTCAGGACTGACTCGAGCGAATGGTGCTGCAGGTTGTGGCTTTCTCTGTGAGACCCTCCCCTGCCCCAGGACACCACCTGGTTCTCCTGATACCTTGCCCTGGCCTCCCTCGGGGCCTCTCCTGCAAGCTTACCTTGTGGTTCTTAGACTGTTAGGGTTCCCCAAGGGTCTTGGTTTCCCCTTTTTTCTGTTGGCTGTCTTTGGATGTTTATCCCAGTCTTGATTATTTTTCATCCACTATTTGTTTCTGATTCAGTAAACTTTAAAAAAGAATAACCTTTTAAATTTTAGATTCACAGAAAAGTTGAAAAGATAGTAAAGAGAATTCCTATATATCCTTTACCCAGTTTCTCTTAATATGACATCTTACATTTCTTTTTTTTTTTATCCTCACCCGAGGACATTTTCCCATTTTTTTGTTCAGGTAGAGTGGGAGGGAGAGAGAGGAACAGAGAGAGAGAGAGAAACATCGATGTGAAAGGGACACATCGAGTGGCTGCCACCCGCACGACCGACCAGGGCCGGGGACAAACTGCAACCGAGGTACGCGCCCTTAGCAGGGACCCAACCCGGGTCTCTCAGGACCGCAGGCCGACGCTCTAACCGCTGAACCAAACTGGCCAGGGCAAGCTCACATTTTTTAAACACCTAGTTGGTGCTGGGCATGTTCACTACACAATCTATAACCGTTGAGTTCCACTTTTGTGACTTCAGCCTGAACCCTCATCCTAAGCAAACCAATACTACTCTGTGCCTTAGTCAGCTTGGGCTGCCATAACAAACTACTACACACTGGGTGGTGGAACAACAGACACTTCCACGGTTCTGGAGGCTGGAAGTCCAAGATCAGGCACCAATGTGGTTGGTTTCTGGTAAGGATTTTCTTCCTGCCTTGCAGATGGCCACCTTTTTGCTGGGTCCTCACATGGTGGGTTGAGGGTGAGAGAGAACACACTCTCTGGTGTCTCTTCTTATTAGGATACTAATCTTATTATGAGGGCCTCATCTTCATGACTTCATCTAAACCTAATCATCTCCGAAGACCTTGTTTTTGTTTTTTTTTTTTTTTTTATCCTCACCCGAGGACACTTTTCCATTTCTTGTACAGATAGAGTGGGAGGGAGAGAAAGGAAGGGGGAGAGAGAGAGAAACATCGACATGAAGGGACACATCGAGTGGCTGCCACCCGCACGACCAACCAGGGCCGGGGACAAACTGCAACCAAAGTACATGCCCTTAGCGGGAACCGAACCCGGGTCTCTCCGGACCGCAGGCCGGCGCTCTAACCGCTGAGCCAAACCGGCCAGGGCAGACCTTGTTTTTTAAATACCATCATGCATGTCCAGCTGGTGTGGCTCAGTGTTTGAGTGTTGACCCAAGCACCAGGATGTCACCTGTTCGATTCCTGGTCAGGACACATGCCCAGGTTGTGGGCCTGATCTCCAGTGGGGGGGCATGCAGGAGGTGGCCAATCAATGTTCTCTCTCATCAGTGTTTCTCTCTCTCTCCCTCTCCCTTCCTTTCTCTCTAAAAACAATAAAGGGCCCTGGCCGGTTTGGCTCAGCAGTTGGAGCGTCGACCTGCAGTACAGAGAGACCCGGGTTCGGTTCCCGCTAAGGGCACGTGCCTCGGTTGCAGTTTGTCCCCAGCCCTGGTTGGTCGTGCGGGTGGCAGCTACTTGATGTGTCCCTTCACGTCGATGTTTCTCTTTTTCTCTCTTCCTCTCTCTTCCTCCCGCTTTATCTGAACAAAAAATGGAAAAATGTCCTCGGGTGTGGATAAAAATAAATAAATAAATAAATGAATAAATAAATAAATAAATAAAATCAATAAAGGAAAAAATTAAAAAATAAATACTATCACACGGGGGTTAGGGATTCGGCCTAGGATTTGGGGGTGGCATAGCTCATAGCACCCTAGCACCCTGTTTTGTTAGGCTTTTTGTACTTCTCCCTTTCATCTGTAGGTCAGGAGCAATGAAATGTTTTGATGTAGGAGTTGTACTGCTGTAGGTGCTGTGGGAATAAGAGTGGTTGGAGGTGTTGATGCTGGTGGTTCACCTGGATACTGGAGACTGCTGAGCAGGGGAACCTGGGTTTGTAGAATCAGGCCTAGAATTTTTTATTCTGAACAAATGTCTTGCTTGGAGAAGAGAGACAGTGAGAACCCTGCCTCTTCTTTCAGGGTGTGTGAGGGAGGGATTGTTCTGAGCCTGGTATTGTAGGGGGCACACAGGCCACACTCCCCTGCTGCTGTGCTGGACGCCTTCTAGCACAGATCCTTCTGAAAAGTCCAGGGCCCGGGTCAGAGTCAGGAGACGCAGCTCAGGCACAGTGCTTCACCAACTGCGCCATCCCCATTCTGCTCTGCTGATGGCCCCACAGTCCTTCAGAGCACCTCCACTCCCTTTCATGATCCAGCTCCAGATCACACCCCCTTAGTCATCTTCCATCTATCTGGAGCAAGTCCTTTCCAAAGAAGAAGAAAGAGTGTCTTTCATGGCCTTGAGATCTTTGAGGAATACAGGCAGTTACTTAATGGGTTCATCTGTTTCTTTGTGAGAATATTGCATTAATGCATGTTAGACAGGACTGTTATAGAAGTGACATTATGTACTTTTCAGGTGGCAAATGACTGTGTCCCTGGGTGATGCTCTTGCTCACCTGGTCACAATGCCATCTGTTCCCCACTGTGTGGTCCCTGTTTAACCTGTGCTCACTACTGAGTTTCAGATTCAGACTCTAGAGCTGGGAGGTGGCCCCGTGCTCGGGGGCCTGCGGTGGAGATCCAGCCCTCCAGGTCTGCGGCCTGCAGAGATGCACTGTTTTTATATATTTGGTTTTCAAGTAAAATTTAAGTGAGAGTTTTCCTGTTCTGAACCTCCTCAGAACCCAGGTGAATTATGGATAATCCTATATTTGATCTTAAAAATCGGTATCTTTTCTAAGGTTTTTTAATTAAAATAAAGTTTATATCAAAAGTTTTATAGCACTTGTGTGACTAAGGTTGTTCTGGGTTGGTTTCTAGGAGGACAAAGACACCGATTCCACCAAAGAACCTCTGGATGACCTTTTTCCAAACGATGATGATGACCCTGGTCAAGGAAGTAAGTTGGGGCGGTGGTTAGATGTCTGAACGCAGACAGAGGGAAGGTGGCTTGTGCTTACGGGGTGTAACTGGTGCCTCGTGGGCACCTTTGAGTCGCAGACTGCCTTGCAGGAGCACGTGCATGCTTCGACCATGTGTTTCCCAGAGAATTTCATACAGTTTTCTGGTTGGGATGTAGTGACAGACCAGCCCCTAGGGACAGGGCCATGTACAAGCAGTTCAGTTGTGATCCCACAACTGTTCAGTTGTTTTCCACAGTGAAAAAGGCAGGGCTGGTTTTCTGGTGCCAAGAGCAGTCTTACTGCAGTGTGTGTGTCTGTGGGTGTGTCTGTGCATGGTGGGGGGATATGTCATCCCCGGAGAGTGCTGATAGGTTTCCATGGCATGGGGCCATGTGCTGACCTGGACCAAAGCTAGAGGAGAAAATTTAAATCATGCCGTCTGGTCATTTCTGCGAACCGTGACGTGGAACTGTCTCTGTAGTCCAGCAGCAGCACAGCAGCGCCGCGGCGGCTGCCCAGCAGGGCGGCTACGAGATCCCAGCTCGACTGCGTACCCTGCACAACCTGGTCATCCAGTACGCCTCGCAGGGGCGCTACGAGGTGGCCGTGCCCCTCTGCAAGCAGGCCCTGGAGGACCTGGAGAAGACTTCCGGCCACGACCACCCGGACGTGGCCACCATGCTCAACATCCTGGCCTTGGTGTACAGGCTAGTAGTTTTCATTCTGTCCTCTGACTTTTATCTTGAGACCATATTTTAGTGAACTTGCTCTTAAAATACATTTCTATAAACCTGTATAAGCTACTTTATAATCTTATCATTCTCTTTTTTTCCTCAAACAGCTTGGGGTTAAATTGAAAGGACTCAAGCTCTGTGCAATGGTAGAACACGCACCCCGTTCCTTCTAGAACAGCCACACCAAAATTCTCGGTTTTCACACAAGACTGCCTAGGTTTCTTCCAGAACAGCCTTCACACTATGCCTGCAGTATCCTCCCCACCTTGCTAGGGCCTGTTAACGCCCTCTCCTTCTGAACCCAGGTTCCACTTGATCCTGTTGTCCCGATCCTCTGTCCTGCCTCTCAGGGTGCTGGTGCATCGGGGTTGTTGGAGCTCTGTTCTCTCTTCTCCCGGAACATCGACTCCTTGACGTTGAGGATCAGGTTGTCTTTGGGCATCATTCCAGCCTGTTTTCTAACATAGGTGCCCTTGGCGAACATGTTGAATTGAATTAGTTTGCTCTGTGGCATTGGAGTCTTTTGTCCGCTCTTGTGTTTTGGCTGAACTACCCTGAAGTAGAGCAGATCAGATGAAGGAGGACCTGAGGGGAAGTCACTGACAGCAGTACGGGGTGCTGTGGCCGTTCCGGTCATGGGGCTGTCAGTTACCCTGCCTCACTGTTCTTCACTGGTTTTGAGACCCAAGTACAGACAGTGGAACCTCAGTTCTCAAACTTAATTTGTTCTGGAAGGGTGTTTGAGAAGTGATTTGTTAAAAAACAGAATCATTTTTTTCCCACTGGAAATAATGTAAACTGAATTAATCCTTTCCAGACCCCAAATGATTCCGTTTTAACCTTTCTTATATACAGGACACGTCTAATGTACGTAGTCCAATGTATAAACACTTCTTTTCTCAAATATGCTGAACCAACCCCTACAGTCTTAAACGAGTCACCTTCAGCCCTTGTTCCAGAGTCTTTCAGGAGGTCAGCAAGCAGCATCTTCACTTTTTCACATGTCATTGCCTCCGAAATGCTGTCTGCTTTTTTTTTTAATCTTCACCCAAGGATATTTTTACATTTATCTTAAGACAGAGTGGGAGGGGGAGAGAGACACATCCATGTGAGAGAGACACAGGTTGGTTGCCACCTGCACGACCTCAGCTGGGGCTGGAGACGAACCACAACTGAGGTATGTGCCCTTAGCTGGAATCGAACCCTTGACTCTTTGGTCCTCGGGCCAACACACTATCTGCTGAGCCAAACCGGCCAGGGCCTGTCTGCTTTTCATTTATCCAAATGAACACCAATTTTTCTACCTCTTTAGTTGCCTGTGATCATGGTTTCTGTTTCATGAGCACTTTCACACCCTTAGCAACATCAGCATCCTTGATGGCCTCTTCATGTTTTAAAATTGTGCTAATCCATTTTGCTAGCCACAAAAGGAAAAAACACAAAAATATTCACAGCACAATTTCCTGAGATGTTAATAGTGGAGATTTAGTAGTAAACTGAGTCATACTCCCGCATTCTGTCCTTTGGCCTGAGAGATGCTTTTTGTGGTGGTGATGTATCAGCATGAAATGGTTGTCAGGACGAGAAGTGAAGTTTTATTCAATAATCGAGACATTTTTTCCATGAACAACTTGGTTGAGAACCGAATTGTTCGAGATGGGAGGCATCAGAGAATGAGGTTTGACTGTATCAGACTTTGGGCTGGTTCCTGTGAGGCCCTGAGGATGAAGACGTAACTCCTGTTCTCAAGGGGAATTCAGTTTCCATCTCTGCTAAATGGCCACGGGACCGAGGATGTTGTCCAGAGCCTTAGCTTTCCTGAGCCTCAGTTTCATCGTATCGCAGATGGTGGTAGTGGTAGTACCTGCTCACAGGGCCAGGGAAGGACTGTGGGGATGTAATATCTGGTACACTTGGCAGGCAGAATAGCCTGGTGTGCTTCATTTCAGAGACCAGAATAAGTACAAAGATGCGGCCAATCTGCTGAATGATGCCTTGGCCATCCGGGAGAAGACTTTGGGCAGAGATCATCCCGCGGTGTGTATATCTGATTCTTCCATTCTTTTTATATATTTTATTCTCCTTCATATGTTTTGTACCCAACTTATTTTGCTATTAAACTCAACAGGGAAGGTTTAAGAGAGCTGCCTATCCACTAGCTGGCACAGGTAGGGTCCTCCTTGCTTCCTCCTGGTGGTCAGCCTCATGCTGGTGGCTGACTCGAGCACATGCCAGTGTGCACGCACTCGACTCTCCTCCATCCAATGGAGCACGTGCTGTAGTTCTTGATCCTAAATTGAATCGCATGTACTTCTGAAAATTTTCTTGTAAAGAACTTACGTTGTCTTTATTAAAATCTTGTCATATTTGCATACAGGCCTGTTTTGGTTGGCCGTGTGGTTCCCAGTGAGATATATTTAAAAAATCAAGATCCTGCTGATGTTGATTTGTGTAATTCTAGCTCCTGCAATGTTGCTGTTTGATCTATGTTCCGGTGAATTGCTCTCTTGCTTTTGATGAAACTCACCATCCCTGACCAGCCCAGCGCCTGGCTGTCGTGCTCACCCTCTGCGTGGTTCCCTGTGTTGCAGGTGGCAGCAACTCTCAACAACCTCGCGGTGCTTTACGGCAAGAGAGGGAAGTACAAGGAGGCGGAGCCGCTGTGTAAAAGAGCTCTGGAGATCCGAGAAAAGGTGCAGTACCGGTGCCGAGCCTCTCGTGCTCTCAGAGGCAGACGCTGCTTGGTGCTTTTATTTGTTTATTCTTAAATATATTGGGGTATCCTTGGCTAATAGGCTCATGTAGGCTTCAAGTGCAAGTTTGGTGCTTTTTGAACACTTCAGTTTTACCTTGTGGGAGGTGACCACTGTGTTAGGTCATCACTGACCATTTACTTAATGTAACTTGTTCCACAAGGGGGACAGCAAGTGGGCCCGTGTGATGGGGTGTGCCGGTGGGTGCTCAGGATGGAGGCTGCGTCGTGCCCTTCCAGCCTGCAGTGGCCTAGAGATGCCTGCTGAAGGAGGACTTTCTCAGGACCAGGGTTCACTTGACAGCGGGCACGTGCCTGCCAGTAAGAACGTCAAGTCACCAAATGTGCTTATAAAGCTTTAAAAGTGAAATAATCTTTCAGATCGAAACATGGACTCAGCAATAGATTCAGTCAGTGTCGTGGATGTTAACTGCCAGCTGCTGTGGTGTGTTTAGCTAGGTATTGAAGAGGTGACTTGTTACTTTGGCAGCACTCAGTGTGACTGTGCTCAGCGTCAGTCTGTGCTGTGGATGACCAAGGGGAATGCTTTGACTTGGTATTTTATGTAGTTATTTACTAGTGATACTGAGAGGTTAATCACTTAATTTTGAGCCGTATGGCATGGACTTGGGAAAGGGGAAATGAAAAGCAACTCATTATCACATCACGTAGGTAAACTTTTATCATGCTGCCATCTGCCTATTTATCAAAAGGTCTGATTTTGTGGGATTGGGGTTACAGTGAGGGAGAACAGAAAAGTGTGGAATGAAGGAAGCATCACAAACTTCGTAGGATGGTCTGCCAGGTCCATTCACATGTATTTGCTCTTTCACACACTCACTTGGGAAATGTTTTTTGAGGGCTTGGGGGCCCCTGCTTGGTTGGAGTTGGTGACTTACAAGTCAGAGACCCAGTCCCTTCCCTGGAGCACAGTCCACCAGACAGAACTTGGGAATGCAGGGTGTCCTGGCTTCTAGGATGGAGCTGGGAGAGTTGAGAGGTGGGGGCTTCTCCGGGTCCAGGCTTGGGGGCATTGGGATGGTTTCCACAAATGTTAGTGTTTGAACCGAGTCTTCAGTAACTGACCTCAGCGTCCCAGGCAGAGAGAGGGAGTGCAGGAAGTGGTGGGGAGGTCGCATGCCTCCTGGGGGTGCCTGGGGAAGGCATAGGGTTGAGAGAAAGGTGCCTGGGAAGCAGTTCAGTGTTACCCATCAGGGGCTGCATCGGTGAGCAAGACAGGATCGCACTTTTGGGCTTGCATTGGAATGGGTGAGAGTTGAGTAATAAGGGACTAACTAGATGAACAAGGTAGTTTCAGGTAGTAACACTTGTAAAGAAAGAGAAAAACCAGGTAATGTGCTTCTGAGCTAATTGGTGGGCTGGGCTGAGGTCTCCCCTAAAGTGGATAGAGGGAGTCCTGTCCGAGGGCCTGAAGAGTGACCTAAAGGGTGAGCAGTTGGGGGAGGAGTGTTGACATCTGGGACAGCATGGTGGAAGGGCCCTCCAGGTGGGGTGGGAAGTGTGCGGGGAAGTGGTTGGGTGGAGGACCTTTGAAGGCTGTGCGCTTAGGAACGAGTTGGACGGGGCTGGTTAAGTTGGGGCTTTTCTAGAACTTGGCAGTAATATTAGCATTGCCTTTCTGAAAGCCAGTTTTCTCCTCTTCAGAATGTACATAGCAACGTTCCCACCATGTAGGATCATTGTGAGAATTAAAGAAGTTAAAGCATGTAAAAGAAATCAGCACCCCCCCCCCCCCCCAAGAATAAGAGCTCAATAAATTCTGATGGTTCTTTTTTTTTATTACAGGGCATGGGGAGCCATTTAAGTATTATAAGCCTCTTCACGTTTTTACTTAGAAAGACCCTTCACGTAGTGTGTCGGATTGGATGGATGTAGTTAGACAAGGAATGGGTGTTCCTAACACCATATTTTGTTCTCAGGTTTTGGGAAAAGACCACCCCGACGTGGCCAAGCAGTTAAATAACTTGGCCTTGCTGTGCCAGAACCAGGGCAAGTATGAAGAAGTAGAGTACTACTACCAGAGAGCCCTGGAGATCTACCAGACGAAACTGGGGCCCGATGATCCCAATGTGGCCAAAACGAAAAATAACCTGGTACGTTGGCAGATGGAAGTGGACTTGCTTCCCTTGAGATCTGGACGGTCTCACTGTTTGACCTGTCGAGAGGAATGCATGCTTTCATTTGCATATGAAGAATACTAAGTACTTTATTTTATTTTAAGGCCTCCTGCTACCTGAAGCAAGGAAAATTCAAGCAAGCAGAAACACTGTACAAAGAGATTCTTACTCGTGCACATGAAAGGGAGTTTGGTTCTGTAGATGGTAAGTAATGTGCTCCTGTTTCTTTTTTTTTTTCTTTAATTTTTTTTTTTTTTATCCTCACCTGAGGACATTTTTGCATTCATCTGATAGAGCGGGAGGGAGAGAGGGAGGAAGAAAGAGAGAGAAACATCGATCTGAGAGAGACACATCGACTGGCCACCACCCACACGACCCCAGCCAGGGCTGGGGACAAACTGCAACTGAGATTCGTGCCCTTAGCGGGAACCGAACCCGGGACTCTGGTCTGTGGGCTGAAGCGGTAACCGCTGAGCCAAACTGGCCAGGGCTCCCTCATATTTCTTACCTAAGAGTTGTTGTAGGCACTTAGTACCCAGATTTGGAGCGCATGTTTTATAGAGTTTCAGTTGCTCAGTAAAACAGTACTGTGTGATGTAAGGTGTTTATTTTTTTCCTTTATTAGGTGTCACATAGACATTCGGAAAGAGGATAGTTGTTGCTAGTGTGCATGAATCCTTAGAATGTTTCTGGAAAGGGGTGGGGCTTGGTTCATCTTTTTTTTTCTTCTTCTTTAGAGTTTCTAGAACCCACTTTTGAAAAATCAAAAGTGGAGTAGTTTTCTCCTCTGTTAGTAAGTGCAGCAGCCATCTCTTTCCCTGTCAGGATATATAGTGACGCCTCAGGATCATCACTCTGAGAACGGGTCCCCTTTGCAGTTTCGGGCGGGGCGGGAGAACTGCTCCCCTCCCTGGTGTTTACAGTGCTGGGCGCTCGCCCCCATGTGACTGGAGGGCCGGCTGTCTCCCAATGCCTCTTTCACAGACTGTTCTCGGGAGCTGTGTTTCTTGGGATTTCCTTGCTCTTTCTGCCAGAAATGGTAGCATGAGGCTCAGTTAACCGGGTTTTAGTTAAAAGCAGTTTTCAGTACTTGGTTTCATCCTTCATACAGATGTTGAGAGGACAGAAGGCATTGATTCCGTAGGTGGGATGTCAGTGTGTCCTGCTATGCTTGGTGCGCGACCTTCAGTCTCATGGACTGTCTCTTGCTCGTGGCACCTGCACTGACGCCCTCGACCTGCTTGTCAGGATGACGCACAGAACGAGTATGGTAATGGGGCTTGGGCTGCACTCTCTTGGTGAGTGTGACTGCCATCCGCTCTCCAGAGCCAGTAGTTATCATGGGTTGTCAGGGCTTAACTCCCTTACACTTAGTTTATGTTTAGTACACCTACATTAAAACGTTTTTTTAATTGCAAGGAAAGGGGCCCTTCAGTCCCATCAGTGCTGAGTGCTCTGGAGTTCTGTTGAGTGGAGGCAGCCGCACATCCCTGGTGAGGAGGAGGCAGGATTGAGATGCCCTCTGTTCCTGAAACAGACAAAACTAAAGCAAACAAAACTCCAGTTATTTATTTTATTTTTTAAAGTTTTCTTTTTCTTTATTGATTTTAGAGAGAGAGGAAGTGAGAGGGAGAAAGAGATAGAAACATTGATGAGACAAAACATGGATTGGCCACCTCCTGCATGCCCCCCACTGGGGATTTGGCCCACAACCTGGGCATGTGTCTTGATCGGGAATCGAACTGGCAACCTCTTGGTGCTTGGGTTGACGCTCGACCACTGAGCCATACTGGGCGGGCTCAAACGTGTAATCTTATTTAATTTTCTTTCTTTCTTTTTTTTTTTTATCCTCACCCGAGGACATTTTTTCATTTTTTGCACAGAGTGGGAGGGAGGGAGAGGAAGAGAGAGAGAGAGAGAAACATCGACGTGAAAGGGACACATCGAGTGGCTGCCACCCGCACGACCAACCAGGGCCGGGGACAAACTGCAACCGAGGCATGTGCCCTTAGCGGGAACCGAACCCGGGTCTCTCCGGACCGCAGGCCGATGTTCTAACCGCTGAGCCAAACCTGCCAGGGTTTATTTAATTTTCTTAACAGTCTGTGAAGTGTGTTAGACATGGCCCCATTTTAGGAGCAAGGACACCCATGCTAAGTGACTTACCAAGGTCTGGTAGTTGACTGGTGGTTGGACTGGGTGGGAGTGTGGCCTTCTCCCAGAGCCCCAAATAGCTGCTTTTTTGTGGGAACCTCAAAAATTCATGCAGAGATGAGAACGTGAACTCGCCATAATTTCATCATCCTAGTACACCTTTTAGGTTCTTAGTATCTTCTTCCTGTACCTATTGATCTGTGGAATTGAAGCTGCTTCACATGTGGTTGTGTGCACTTTTATCCTCCTTCATGCCTGTAGCCTAGGCATTCTCATGCCAGAAACATGTCTGCATGAACTTCCTCCATTGCTGTGGGTACGTTAGCTGTCTAGGGACTTGGATGGGTGGTAAGTGTGAATGTTCTCAAAAGTTAAGGAGATTTTGCCCTGGCCGGTTTGGCTCAGCGGTTAGAGCGTCGGCCTGCGGTCCTGAGAGACCCGGGTTCGGTTCCCGCTAAGGGCACGTACCTCGGTTGCAGTTTGTCCCCGGCCCTGGTTGGTTGTGTGGGTGGCAGCCACTCGATGTGTCCCTTTCACATCGATGTTTCTCTCTCTCTTCCTCTCTCCCCCTCCCACTCTACCTGAACAAAAACAGAAAAATGTCCTCAGGTGAGGATTAAAAAAAAAAAAATGTTAAGGAGATTTTAAAGGAATATTGATTTGTATCTCTTCTACTCTTGCTGCCAACATTTTACTGCTTTTTGTTAGACTTTGTTTAATGCTAGGTTGCTTAAATTTTAAAGCTCCTGAGTGTTGTGTACAGATTCTAGTGTTAAAAAAAGTTTCATGCCCAGCTGGTGTGGCTCAGTGGTTGAGTGTCGACCCATGCACTGAGAGGTCGCCAGTTTGGTTCTTGGTCAGGGCACATGCCCAGGTGTGGGACTGATCCCCAGTGGGGGACGTGCATGAGGCAGCCAGTTGTTCTCTCTCATCGATGTTTCTCTCTCTCCCTTCCTCTCTCTCTAAAATCAATAAAGGAAAAATATATTAAAGTAAAAAGTTTCATGATGCCAATCCTCACATGTCCGGTTGTTGATAGTTGCTTACCAGGCCTGGTACATTTGCTTCTGTGTGTTCTGTCACCAAGCTGCGGGAGGCGGCCACCTCCTTGTGCTTGTTGTGGTCTGTCCTTGCAGGCCCTGTCCTCCATGGGAATGTCACCATCCAAGTGTGAGAAGTCACGTTTAAGGAGGATCTTAGAAAAATAACAGAAACCTTGTGATCTCTGGGCTCTATCATGTTTATAGGGTGTTGATTTTCCTTCCCCAGATGAAAATAAACCCATCTGGATGCATGCAGAAGAAAGAGAAGAATGCAAGGTAAGAGCGTTCTCTTCTGAGGGTTTCCTAAGTGGGACAGAGTGCTTTCCAGAGAATTACTCATTTGCACTTGTTTGTTATAATTCAGGGAAAGCAAAAGGATGGGCCATCTTTTGGAGAGTATGGCGGCTGGTACAAAGCCTGCAAAGTTGACAGGTATGTCTGTTTCCCTGGAAAATAACACAGCTGTGGACGGTGCTTCTAGTGCCTTAAAGGGCAGCTTGCAGGGGACCCTGGACGCACAGAGTTCCTCATGGTGGCGTAGTTCCACTGTCAAGCTTTTCCGGATTCCAGTGAAAAATCGTAACTTTGTAAATGAGGTGATTTACATACACAAAAGCCAACCAGAATGTGGGTAAAATATGGGCTCTGTGCATTAATGCTGCTCTGTCCAGGGCTAACTACCAAACTGCAGAAGGAGATGGCTGATGAGGGACATGGGCTAAGGTGCCATAGAGCGGATAGGCCAGCATTTTATACATGTGTAGGGGTGCCTCGGCGAGATCTGAGCCGCAGCTCCCTTTCATCGCTGCCCTCGGCCTCTGTGTCTGCAGAGGGCAGTGGGAGCGCCCCCATGAGCAGCCCTGTGAGCCGGGGCCTGCACTTCCCACGCCAGGCCCCGCTGACCCTGTTTCCTCCCAACTGGAACACCTTTCTTGCTCTTTCCTGTCTGGACGCTAATTCATCTTTTAAGATGCAGTTTATCAGTCATTTAGTTCAGAAAAGGTCTCTGGCCTCTTTGTCTGGGTTCCCCATGGCCCTTACAAATATGTTGGAGTTGAATGCTTTATCCCACCATGGTGTAACTCAGACACAGAGTGCAGCTCCTTTATTCTGCGCTCACTGTGCCTGTCATTAGTAGGAAGAAAGTCTCCTAAAGTCCAGCTGTACCAAAGTGAACAGCCTTGTTGATAGTTCCTGTAAGACTGCTGGTCACAGGTGCCGGGGCACACGTCCCTGCTGTGCTGTATCCTTCCGTCACCTACAGCAGTTGTTCTGTTGATGATGCGGTTTAGGTTCGCTCTGTGTCCCCTCTGCATCCTCTTGACTGCCTGACACAGAATCCTCTCTTGCTCCAGGAGAAGCTTGGTTACCAGGCAGCCCCGCATGGACATTTCTGTTGACAGGGTGGCCCATGGTCTGAGCCGCTGCAGCCTGGAAAGAGCTCAAGGCAGGTCTCACCACCTGCAGGGGGTCGGCCCCAGCTGCCCTACACAGCTCTGGGAGGCAGGGGGTGCTTGAGATGGAAGAGCTTTTTATAATTTTACATTGGAAAACAGTGCCGTAGAAATCCGAGTCTTAACCCAGACAAACTCCTAGTCTTCACATGCCATGCTGTGGTCAGTGGCTGCTCTGGAGCACACTTGAGGGTCTGCATGTCCTGTGCTTTCTTACAGTCCGACTGTCACAACCACCTTAAAAAACCTTGGGGCACTTTACAGACGTCAAGGCAAGTTTGAAGCTGCAGAAACACTGGAAGAAGCAGCCATGAGGTCACGTAAACAGGTGAGTCAAACCCCTTCTGTTTCTAACGTCCATTAAAACTTGGAGTTCAGTGATCCTCTTTATGCGACTTGTTGAAAACCTGACTTAGAAAATCTTTAATATTTTAGTTTGTACAAATAAGATTACATTGTTTTGTTTAAATATTGTAAACGACACCAAAAACACAAGCAGCAAAAGAAAAACTCGAGCAGTTCAGTCCACCAAAATTAGAACTGTGTGCGCATTCAAGGGTTCCGCCCAGAAAGCGAAGAGGCGCCCACAGAATGGGCACCGTTGTGTGCAAACCACGTGTCTCATCAGGGTCTAGTGTCCAGAATATATGAAGACAGAGGGACCACCTGTTAAAATGAGCAGAGGACCTGAGTGGACATTTCCCTGGAGATGATGCGTGAATTCCGAGATGCTCAGAAGATGCTCCGCCTCTCTTGTCATTGGGGTGCAATGTGACACCACCGTGAGAGACCTCACACCCACCAGGACGGCTGTGACAGACCTGTGACAGACGAGGCAGGAAGAAGAGAGGTGGTGGGGCTGTGACACCGAGCAGCCACCGTGGAGACGTCTGGAGGTTCACTAAGCAGAAGTGGCAGCCCCCACACTCTGGCAGTTCCACTCCTAGGTGTGTGCCCAACAGAACTGAACAAGGGACTTGGGACAGGTACCGCTGATCCTTGTGATTCAGGCCGTTCCATCCTGTAGACTCGCTGTGAACGTGAAGTAGCAGACCCTCTGGGGAGAGCCTCGCTGGGTTCCCGAGAGCCTCTGCTCAACTGTCATCAGCTGACTGCCTGGTCCAGAACCTTGTTCTGTGTGCGTTCTGTTCAAGGACACCTTACTGAGCACGTTTGTGATGCGTTAACACCAAACTCATGGCCAGTAGCACTGCAGCTCAGGCCTGAAGGAAGCCTGCCTGAGCCGGGTGCTTGCTCCACCTGCAGGCACGTGCAGCCCTCGTGCTTAGGGACATGGAGTGATGCTGCAGCACTGCTGGGCCGTCTCAGCGAGCTCTCCAGCAGAACAGGCGCATGCGGAGAATATGGACTAATTCAGACCGGGAGAATGATACTTGTTGACAGTGTGAGATAAAACAAGAAAGCAGAGTGCCGCCTTGTTGGGGCTCAGCAGGGCTGAGCCTGTGGGTGACGGGTCACACGTGCCGCCTGGGTTGAAACCCCACATGGAACATGCAGCAGGTTGCACCTTGGCCATTGGGCACTGACGTGCACGGGAAGTTGCTGTTGGGTTTTAATGCAGTTAGTGTTGCAGACATGCGTGAAGTCTGAAGGAACAAGATGGTGCCTTCTGTAATCAGTGGCTGGTTTCTTAGATGTATGCTGAGAATACAGTGATCCATGAATTTCCCACCATGGCCTCACCTTGGAGGTGTGGTACACCAGGAGGCAGCGTTGAAGCATTGCACACGGCACTTCCCCAGGACCTCACCATGAAACTTTCCAAACGAACCTGAGAACCCGGATCCCATCAGGATCACTTCGTTGTGCTTGGGCTTGTGTCCACCTGCCCCACCCCGGGAGCGTTCCCAGCATGCGCCTCAGAACACTTTCTGCTGGGTGCTGAGGGGCAGCCCCCACCGGGGTCAGTGTCGCTTGATGAGGCTGGAAGTGAACTGATGACGGCGAGAGGCACGTGTCTCTAGTGTGCTTTCATCTCCCTCCAGTGTTTAAGAACTTCTGTTTTTTTTCTAGTGACGTTTACTATCTTGTAAATCTCTAATAAATTTAAGTGCTAATGGGTGAAACCCTCCCCCTGCCTGACTCGCAGGGTCTTGACAATGTTCACAAACAGAGAGTGGCTGAAGTGCTGAGCGACCCCGAGAGCTCGGAGAAGCGCCGGAGCCGGGAGAGCCTGACTGTGGACACGGTCAAGTACGAGAGTGGCCCTGACGGAGGGGAGGAAGTGAGTATGGGCGTAGAGTGGAGTGGGGTAAGTACAGTGCGCAGCGCGGCTCCGGGTGCCTGCCACCCCTCCAGGCTGCCTTCCCGCAGTCCTGTCCTCTAGACGCTCGCTTTCCTCAAATTCAGTGCCAACTAAACTTTATAAGCTCTTATCTCCTGCTAATACTGCAGTCTGTGAATTGTTTGAAAGGGTCATTTTCTTTCTCTGGGACTCCATGAAAGCTATTTGGCTTAACTTCGAGCACTTAAATGCTGATTGAGTGTCCTGGTTGTTCAAAGTATAATCCATAATCTGGTTTTACTTTAGTCATATGATAGCGTGGCAGATAACTAACTTGCTTTTTTAACTTACCACTTCATTGCTAACTCCCGTGCTCCTAATTTCACTGACCAGGCTGCTGTAGATTTTGTTAGAATTAATCTAAATGCCTTAGATGGGCTGAGGTTTCAGACAGACTCGTCTGGGAAAGGAGCAGGTCCGGAGCAGGGACTCTTGGTGGCTGTGCCTGTGATCCACCTCAGTCCTGAGCATCCTCCTCCATGGAGGGGTTGGGTCCAGTGCTCTTCACAACTACCTGCCACAGGTTTTCGGTCCAGAACACATGCCTGTCTTTGAGAATGTCAGCTGCTGGCCAGGCTCAACTCTGGGCCTTACTATGTGGTTTTCGTGGAAATTCTTACCACCGCTTTTTACCCAGTGGTTGCCAAAGAGAACGTGTCCTAATGGAAGTTCTCTTTCTAGTGAATATGAGTATCACGTGGGCATTTTTTTGTACAGTGAGCTGGTAGCTTTGGAATCCTGCTTTTCTCTGAGGGTTGGGTGCAGGTGAGCCTTCCCGCATCCAGGCGCACTGTCGATTTTTGAAAGCTGCAGGAGTACATTTTTAGTTGTGACTGTGCAGATTTTTTCTAAATAGTTTTGGGCTTTCTTATCTGTATTTTAAAATTTTTATTCTTTGGGATTTTCTATAGCTGTAGCAATTTGGTGTAAAGATGAGCCTTCTGAGTAGACATTTTGTATAATATGTTAGTGACCAAAATTTCAGGGAGATTGTCTTCTGGGCTGTCTGTCCGGCAACTTTCTTGCTTTGTTTTTTTCTGTGCCAAGACAACCAATCAGCATCTGTTGTGACCACTCACGCCCTTGGGCAGCAGTCCCCAAAGAAAATGATGTGGGCGTAGTCCCTGCTCCGTCCTGTTAGGCCTGCTGTGTACTGTACTCTCCCTGGTACTCTCGTCCACATGCTTTGTAGAGGGCAAGTCCCTTTGCTAGTCTCCAGCCGCCAGGTGCAGATGTTAATGCTTTTGAATGAAGTTCTGCAGGAACTTTCTCCTGAGACAGTATTTCTAGGTCAGTCTGTCTCTGAAGTCCTGTGATAATACAATTATTGACAGCTGTCTTCAGGACTGAGACTCGGGGAGGGAGCTGCTTCCATCATGGAGACTGAGGCGGGTGTAACAGGAGTGGGCACAGAGGGCACTCCAGCGTGCATGCTCCCCCTTCATTTTGTTTATTTTATTATTTAGAAACATTTAAAAAAAACGATTTTAGAGAAAGGGGGGAAGAGAGAGAGAGAGAAACATCGTTTGGCTGCTTCCTGCATGCCCTGACCAGTGACCTTTTGGTATATGGGACAAGCCACCAAACTGAGCCACCTGGCCAGGGCCCCTCACTTTACATTCCTTCCTCACTGTGCACACGCTGCCCCTTGGGGCACACACACTGGGCTCTTAGACACTGGTGCCTCTGCATCCTTGACACAGTCCCTCCCCAGGCACGTGAGTGTCATCGGCTGGTAGACGGGGAGAGTAGACGGGGAGAGCCTGGCTCTCAAGTCACCTGGTGCAGTGGTTCCTGAGCTTGCTGTGAGCAGCGGAAGGAGCCCTTTCCTGGAATGGAAGTTGAGAGGAAGCAGCGAATAAGTAGAGGAGCACTCTAGATCATCGGTTCTCAACCTGTCAGTTGCGACCCCTTTGGGGGTCGAACAACCCTTTCACAGGGGTCACCTAAGACATAATAGTAGCAAAATTACAGTTATGAAGTAGCAATAAAAATAATTGTATGATCACCACAACATGAGGAACTGTATTAAAGGGTCGCGGCATTAGGAAGGTTAAGAACCACTGCGCTAGATTAACCAGTGGGGGGCAGTGGAGGGCTGGGCTCTCCCTACTGGCCACTGAGGCCACTGCTCAGCCCACTGTCACCTCACTTGAAGGCCTTGGCTCTCAGACTGTTCTTATTGTATTTATTTTTTACCCTCACTCGAGGACATTCTTCAGATAGATCAGGAGGGAGAGAGGAGGAAGAGAGAGAGAGAAACATGGATGTGAGAGAGACACATCGACTGGTTGCCACCCACACGACCCCAACCGGGACCAGGAACAAACTGCAACCGAGGTACATGCCCTTAGCAGGAACCGAACCTAGGTCTCTCTGGTCTGCGGGCCGATGCTCTAACCACTGAGTAAAACCGGAAGCACAGTTCTGTTCTTCCAAGTAGGTACCATAACAATTGTGATTAAGGTCTCTGAAGCTGTAGCTTCCTCACACTCACTCCTGTACAAAGTGCAGAGCTGAAAATCACTGTCAGAACACATCTGAGTTCTCTTTTATGGTTCTGCTTCTAAAAACACAGGTGTTGCTCGGCTGGTGTGGCTCAGTGGTTGAGCGTCAACCCTTGCACCAAGAGGTCACTGGTTCAATTTCTGGTTAGGGCACATGCCCAGGTTGTGGGCCCAATTCCCAGTGAGAGGCATGCAGGAGGTGGCCAGTCGATGTTCTCTCTCATTGATGTTTCTCTCTCTTTCTTCTTCTCCCTTCCTGTCTCCCTAAAATCAGTAAATTAAAATAAAAACACAGGTGTTGGGTGCAAAGGAATCCTTTAGGGGTAAAATTAGATTCTTTCTACCCTCGTCCATGTGGCTTCATGTGAGCTGATAGGCCCACATATGTCACTGGGCCACATGGGAGTCCCCAGGCCAGTGAGAATCATCATACACCTCAGCTCTTGGTGGCTCGAGGTCCCACCGTCAGCCTTCTGTCTGCACTGTCCTTTCTGTTTTGGGGGCCACCTTTCTTGCTGGGTCCTTCAGGGGCAGCCCACCCCTTCTTCTCACACTGCTCCCCATGTGGTATTTCCAAAAGCTTTAAACACACAAAACTCTCACGTAGGATCACTGGGGAATCGGATATCCTGTTGATTAGAAATAGGTTAGTCCTGGCCAGGGGCTCTGAGCATTGTCCCATTACGCCAAGGCTGTGGATTTGATCCCTGGTCAGAGCATGTACAAGAAGCAACCAATGAATGCATAAACAAATGGAACAAGAAATCAGTTTCTCTCTCTTTCTTTCTCCCTCCTTCTCTCCCTCCCTCTCTCCTCCACTTCTCTCTCTCTAAAATCAATCAAGAAAATATATTTTAAAAAAGAAATAGCCCAGCTAGTGTGGCTCAGTGGATTGAGCATCGTCCCATGGACTGAGAGGTCCCTGTTCAATTTTCAGTCAGGGCACATGCCCAGGTTGTGGGCTCGATCCCCAGTAGGGGGCGTGCAAGGGGCAACCGATCGATGTTTCTCTCTCCCTTTCTCTCTCTAAAAAAATCAATAAAAAAATATTTAAAAATAGATTCATTTTTTATTTAAATAATTATATTAGAAACAAAACTAGAATATATTTTTAAAAAGTCAAAAACACTAAATCACCTGAAATCTAAGACAGCAGTAGTTCCTGTGGTGCATCTTAACCAGTGCAGTGGCTGCTGGTTTCTGCTGGAAACTCACTGCCCCTGAAAGTGCTCCCAGGCCTGTGAGGCAGCACAGGCTGCTGAGGTCAGGTCAGGTCAGGAGCCCGCCCCGCCCATAGGAACCATCTGGTTCGGGCAGGCTTGGGGCTGTCCTTCCAGCTGGTTCTCACAGGGTCTATTGGGTGAGCTCAAGGGGTGGGCAGACCACTGCACCCATGCTGCCTCGAGCTCTGGGCCAGCCTGTGGCCAGGAGGGGACAGGGAGGGAGGGATGAGTCTCAGTGAAATCTTCACCCTGCTACGCATCTAGCACTGGGGTGTTGCAGTTAGTGCTGAGATGGGAAATGAACGGCAGGAGTGTGCTATTTATGGAATTATGTTAACATTTTAATAACCTTTCTCTGAAGAGAAGCAAGCACTAATGTTTTCTTGTCCTCCCAACATTCATGGGAGTTGGTAACAAGTTTTATTTTTCCATTTTAAAGATGAGAAAAATGAAGCTCGGGCTGGTTAAATGACTTGCTCAGCGTCCCATGGTGAGTCAGAATGGCTGGGACTCAGGTCCCTGCATCAGGGGCATCGGTACAAGACTGTCGGGTCTCCATCCACCAGGGTCCAGGACGCAGAGCTGCCTGTGGGAACCCGTTTTCTAGAGTCAGCTTTGCTCTGGATTATCACATGCATGTTTAGGATGTGCTGTGGACTTTTAAAGCCAGTGTTTTCTTAAAGTTTTTGTCATGTCAGTGTTCTAAGAGAAAGTCCTCCTTGATCGCAGGGAACCATATAGTTGAGGGTACAGAGGGTTTCTGACAGACCGCAAGCTGGAGCGGATGTGCTCTTCCCGCGTAGTCTCTCGGTCACTGTCAGTGTGTCCATCGGGGACTCCCCTCCTGGCAGTTACGTGGAAGCTTTGTATATAAGTGTCCGGGAGATTCTAGCAAGTGCTAGTCTGTGCTCTAAAACGTGAATTTTATCCAGGCCAGGTGTTGCAGAAGGTAGCATCAGACTCACTACCTGTTTATGCTGGGTCAACAGAAGCAGGTGGAAGTAATCCAAAGCACTGAAGCGATTAGCAGTGCTGCGAGATTTGTGACCTAGAAATACTGTGAGCCAAGCTGTGCTACGTTGGAAACGGTCTCTCCTCCCAAGTTTCACCTGGGCTCTCTCTCTCCGTTTCTGCCTGACAGGCCTAGCTGCCTTGTGTGACTCCCACTGTCTCCTGCATGACGGGCGGCACCTCCAGCTTTCTCCTCTCCGTGCCGACTGCTGTGTTTAGCGACCCCTAGGATTCTTGCCAGAGCTACACCTCTGACTGGCCATTCCTCTCGGTGCTGCTGTCCTTTCGGGGGGCTCCCTATCTCTGTATACACGTAGCTTTGCCAGATATGTACTTAGTGATAATAGACTGTATCAATAAAAACCACGTCCTGTGTGATATATGAGCTTACAAATTAAGAGCGGTTAGCTGTTCACTTTGATAAAAGGTAGGTAGAAGTGTCCTACAGGTGTTACTGCAATGGCATGACGGTGACTGTTGACACTCGCTAGGCTGTAAGAGTAGGGCATGTGCTCCTGTTGTCCTCAGAGACTGGGGCCACCTTGCTGGGCCCAGCTCCCCCAGGATCCCGCTCAAGTAGCATCTGCTGTGTAGTCTGTGGAAGTTGGGCAGTTCTGCTTTTCTCTACTAATCTAAGTGTTGACTGATTTGTGTACCTGTGTCTTTCTAACTTCTAATAAACTCACTCCAACTGACCTGTGTCTCAGTGTCTGTCTGCTCAGAACTTGTCACTTTCCATGGAATGCGGCCTTTCGTAGCTTCTGGGGACCCAGCTACTGATAATCCGCTTAAGGGATTCCTTCTGAGAATAAAAGTTGCTGCACACACATGTTCCTCCTCTGTGTGTTTGGTGTCCATGCTGCCAGGCGTGTCCTTGATACGGTCTAGTCGATCAGGACAGAAGCTGGGCATTCTTATTTGCTTTCTGCAAGGTGTCTGAGGCTGTAGTTATTTTCATAGAATGAGCATTTTATCTAATTTTCCAACCACATTTATAATCACATTGAATAAAACTGGGCTAAAATTTACTGAAGAAATGGTACATCTAAGTATTACATTTATATGACATTGTTAAAAGGAAGTTGTCTTTGTCAGACCTCAATGTTTTGGGTTCCATATTATTAAATGTGGAATTTGATTTTGGTGATAACCCTAGAAGCCACCTTAATTTTCTTGAGACTTTTTCTGTGTTATCTTTTGTTTCAAAACAGCAATATAATTAATTTCCTGTGGGGATGTTACTTTTATTTGATCTTCTTCATGTTCAGAAGTTTTTGTGATCATTAGATTATGTTTTAATGAAGTATAAAGTGGACAGATGTCTATTTAATGGGTACTTACGTGGCAAATGGTAATTTCTGAAGGATGCGAATTACCAGCATCCAGATGCACAGGGCAACGGTCTGTGATTCTCGTCACTCAGCGTTGCCTCTGGGGTGGGGAGGGAGGACCACCTGCCCTTCACATCTGTTCACGTTTCTTTCAGGATGGCACCGGATCTTTAAAGCGCAGTGGTTCCTTTAGCAAACTCCGGGCCTCGATTAGACGCAGCAGCGAGAAGCTGGTTAGGAAGCTGAAGGGAGGAAGTCCCCGAGAGAGTGAGCCAAAGGACCCCGGGTAATTATCCCCTCGACGCCACCCGCTGCAGGGTCCGATGGCCATTTCTGCTCCTGCTCGGACCACAGAGAAACACTCGAACTCGGGCCAGCAGTTCTGATTCTCTCCTGGGGCAGGGCAGGGGCAGGCCGGAGTCGTGGCGAAGCTTCCTATTGAGAGGCCAGAGGGCTGTCCTTAAAAAAGAAACACAATTCTTTGAGTTTGTTGCATTGTCAGAGAAAGTCCTATCAGTGACAAGTAGGACTTTAACATTAAAACGTGCGTGTGAGCTTGTTTACCTTAGATATGCATTCATTACTCTTTTAAAAGTTAGCAAAAGTTGTCAAAGGAGTTATTTTCTGAGGTGTTCTTTGTGTTTATAAGATGTGTGGGAAGTTTCTAGGTGTTACTGGGTTTTGCTGATAGAGACAGCTTCCTTGTTTTGGATGCATTTCTCACAGAAACATGGTTTTGTCGTCAGCTCGTCTGTGAAACTCTAACTTTCAAAATGGTACAAACTTTTTCAGGTTGATTCTTAGTAGAACTCTATTTTATTTTATTTTTTGTTGTTGTCAATCCTTACCCGAGGATATTTTCCCATTGATTTTTAGATAGAGTGGAAGGGAGGGAGGGAGAGAGAGTAAGAAACATCTGTGTGAGAGAGATATATCAATTGGTTGCCTCCTACAGTACCCTGACCAGGGCCAGGGATCGAACCTGCAACCCAGGTACATGCCCTTGACTGGAAATCAAACCCTCTACACTTCAGTCTGCATGCCGACGTTCTAACTGCTGAGCCACACCAGCCAGGGCTATGTTATTTCTTTTTATTTTTTTTGATCCTTACTTTTTTTTTTTTATCCTCACCCGAGGACACTTTTTTTTTTTTTGTTCAGATAGAGTAGGAGGGAGAGAGAGAGAGAGAAACATCGATGCGAAAGGGACACATCGAGTGGCCGCCACCTGCACGACCAACCAGGGCCGGGGACAAACTGCAACCAAGGTACATGCCCTTAGCGGGAACCGAACCCGGGTCTCTCGGGACCACAGGCTGATGCTCTAACCGCTGAGCCAAACTGGCCAGGGCTTGATCCTTACTTAAGAACACTTTTGCATTAATCTTCAGATAGAGCTGGAGGGAGAGAGGGAGGAAGAGAGAGAGAGAGAGAAACATCAATGTGAAAGAGACACATCGATTGGTTGCCACCCGCACAACCTCAACCGGGGCTGGGGACAAACCGCAACCGAAGCATGTGCCCTTGGCTGGAATTGAACCCGGACTCTTTGGTCCGCGGGTGACACTGTTACTGCTGAGCCATACCGGCCAGGGCAGCTATTTTATTTCTTAATTCTCACCTGAGGACATGCGGATAGAGGGGAAAAAAATGTGAGAGGGGGTAAAAACATCAGTCAGTTGCTTTCCGTATCTGTCCCAGCTGAGGATTGAACCTACAACCCAGGTATATACCCTGACTGGAAATTGAACCCACAACCTTTTTGGTGTCCTAGACAATGCTCAACAAACTAAGCAGCTCCAGCTGGGCAGTAATACTATTTTAAAAGTGATTTCTGTTTTAAGTTCTGCGGACCGGAATTCTCACATCTCAGAACTGAGAGACCGGGTTCCTTGGGACATACACTGGAAATATGGAAGTGAGGTGCCTTCTCAGTGCCACCTTTGCTATTGTAAGGTGTGTGCAGGCTCATTCCTCTCGTCGTTGGCTGCAGTCTAACTCCTGAGACCCTTGGCGTCCCAGGCCGACCCTCTGCTCAGCGCCTGGCCTGTCTGCTTGTGGATGGACCTGTGTCTTGATGGCTTTGAGACAAGGGGGCAATTTGGTATCTGTATTGGCTGTTGTCCTGCTTTCAGATTCGTCCACAGGCCCTGTTCCGTAGAGTCCTGTGAGCTCCACCTGTGAGCAACCACCAGGAAGAACCTGTGTTGGGAGCCAGCGGGGTGGGGCTGAGGGTGGGGGCTCTGAAACCACGGGCTTTGGCAGGGGTCTGTCCTGCTCAGCTGCCTGGGATAGGTCTCATAAACTCGGCTTGGGGAAGGGGAAGCAGGTTCTAATTGCCTTTGGAGTAAAGTGCTCTTGGTTTAAAATGTTTAGATTTCCAGAACTAAAAAGACAGGTTACTTACTATTTGTCTGATGTTGAAAAAGGAAACATTTTCTTAAAGCGCAATGAGGATCTGAACAGATCAGTTCCCATTCCTGTGCTGGCGTGATGAGCGGAGAGACTTGGGCAGCCCGTGCTCCACGCAGGCCTGCGTGTGGTCTTGGGGCAGTCTCCATGCTCACTTGAGGTTGTGCATGGTTTGAAGCTTTTTTTAATAAATATATATATATATTTTTACAAATATCTTTTATTTTTTATTTTTATCCTCACCCGAGAACATTTTTGCATTTATCTTCAGATAGAGCGGGAGGGAGAGAGGAAGGAAGAGAGAGAGAGAAACACCGAAGTGAGGGAGACAGATCAACTGGCTGCCACCCATATGACCCCAACTGGGGCCGGCGACAGATTGCAACCAAGGTACGTGCCCTTAGTGGGAACCAAACCCGGGACTCTGGCCCGCAGGCCAACACTCTTAACTGCTGAGCCAAACCGGCCAGGGCTATTATAAATATTTTTTAATGATTGTTTTAGAGAGAGAGGAAGGGAGAGAGAGATAGAAATATCAATGTGAAAGAGAAACATGGATCAGTTGCCTCCTGCACACTCCCTACTGGGGATCAAGCCCACAACCTGGGCATGTGCCCTGACCGGGAATCGAACCAGGACCTCTCAGTCCATGGGATAAAGCTCAATCCACAGCAGTCGGGCTGTTTGAAGCTTTTAAAATGCAAAGTCCTATTCTGGCACAATGTCGTATGACATGTCCTTCCTTCCCCATGACAGAGCTCAGATTTTTTTTTCTCTTTCTGCCTTGTCTTCTATTTTTATCAAATGTAACTATGTGTGAATACCCCCAACATGGCAAATACTCAGCCTTACCTGGTGTAAAAGCAAACAACCACACACTTGCATATATTAACCTTTTCATATGTAATCTTATTTGAGATGATACCTTAATGAACTTTGTGAAAAACTAAGTGACTTTAGAAATTGCATCCCAGTCCTTGGTCTGGTAGCTCAGTTGGTTAGAGCATTGTCCATATAGGCCAAGGCTGTGAGTTTGATCCCCAGTCAGGGCACATACAAGAAGCAACCAGCTTGGCTGGTGTGGCTCAGAGGATTGAGCGTCGTCCCATGGACTGAGAGGTCCTGGTTTGATTCACAGCCAGGGCACATGCCTGGGTTGCAAGCTCGGTTCCCAGCAGGGTGCAAGCTGGAGGCAGCTGATTGATGTTTCTCCCTCACATCAATGTTTCTGTCTCTCTCTCTCCCTTCTCTCTCTCTCTCTGAAATCAATTTAAAAAAATTTCATTCCATAAAATTATACGTACAGTAGAATAGCCTTTCCAGGTAAGAGTGACAGTACGAACTTGCCCAGTGGTTTTCAAACTTGAGCATGTGTCAGTGTCTCCTGGACAATTTTTACATGAAGGCTGCCGGGCCCAGCCTTGAGTTTCTGATACAGGCCCGACCTCTTCACCCTTACTCCACACCTTCTAGCATGTTCCCAGGTGGTCACATGCTGCTGGTTGGGGACCAGGTTTGGAGAACAGCTGACCTAGGCTGCAGGAGCACTGTTCTCAGTCTGGGGCATGACCCCAGTGAGTTGTCCTACTCAAGGTTTGAGCACCACGGGCTTAGGTGATTGTGCAGGTGCGATCCTGGAGAGTTGGGAAGAATCGGGGGTAGGGAATTCTTTCTTTTTTAAAATATGTCTTTATTGATTTTTTAGAGAGAGAGGAAGGGAGAGAGAAACATCATTGTGAGAGAAACAATGATCAGCTGTCTCCTACACGCCCCCTACTGGGGATCAAGCCCGAAACCCAGGCATGTGCCCCAACCAGGAATCCAACCGGGACTTCTCAGTCCACGGGACGACGCTCAATCCACTGAGCCACACAGGCTGGGCAATGTTTCTTGCATTGATGTTTCTATCTCTCTCTTTAAAAAAAAAAATCAATAAAAATATATTTAAAAAAGGAAAAAGTTAATTGGACAATTAAATAATAGAATAATAATACTTATGATTCAGTTTGATTTTATCCTTTGTTCTTGAGTAGTTGTAAATAGGAAGAAGTGTATTCAGGACTCTAGCAGCACTGCGGAGGGCTCATCAGAGTGCTTTTGTCCTGGTTGGGACATTTTGGGAGTTTTTTACTTGAGAAAAAATCATTTAAAGTCTTTGCTTCTGGTGCAGTGTATTCAGTGAGCACTTCGTGTGGGCTGTGGGCCGGGCTGTGGTCACGCGGTCCACGCCCTGGGCTTCCACCCCTTCCTGAAAGCGCCCATGTCTGTCTCCGTGTGTGGGCCCTGCAGGTACTGGCTTCTGCCTCCGGCTGTTCCCTCGGTGCTCGCTGTTCGTTTGTCGCCAGCTGAGGTTCAGAATTACAGGTGCTGTTGTAAACACTGAAATGTCACCCCTAATTTAGGTTATTTTAGCTTTAAAAGCTAAGGTGACTTTCTGTTTGATGGCCTCTGTGATGGCGGTAAGCAATTACAGTAATTATACGATTCTCTATAATTTAAGTTTAGGTTGTAGGTAATTTGTAGGGTATTTCATCAAGTAACTTAAAGGCATCAATGGGAGAATAATTATATGTGTAAATCACTGTATTTCTTTAAATGTAAAGACATGAAATTTGTTAGAAGTTTTGATTTATAAGCAGAGAAATAATAGCTTCAGAGTTTATTTTACTAATGAAAAAGTTATTTGTTTTTCCCTACTTTTAATATAGAAAAATACATAAAGTACAGAATATACTTATGCATTTGGTCTCACTAGTATTTCGAGTGTGTCTTTTGGATGTGGCCATTTAGGGTGATGACTCTTACAAGAGTTATTGAGGTTCCCTTCCTGAGACCCGTGTGACAGAGCCTCGGCTCCCGCTGGAGCAGGTTTTAAAAAGTGCAGCTCCAGCGCCCCTGGGGTGGACGTGTACGGTAGGGTGACCGCAGCCCCCCTGGGGTGGACGTGTATTGTAAAACAACTGTTTTTGCTGAAAAGACACAGGGAAACTTCTTTTTCCTACTGAGCACTAAATACAATTAGACCTGGGACATTTGAGGTAAGAATTGGGTGGGTATCCCTGTCCCAGTGAGATGAAGGGACCCCAGTGGTCACAGGCCTTTGAAGGGTGGCTTTGCTGTGTTCTTGCTCCTGGCTGACCTGTGTGCTGACGTTTGTCCTTGCATGTCCACTGTCCTGGTTGCAGCATGAAGCGTGCCAGCTCTCTGAATGTCCTAAACGTGGGTGGCAAGGCAGCTGAAGACCATTTCCAAGTAAGGAGCCCTGCCCCACCTCATGCCCTTAACTCCCCAGACCAGGCTGGCAGGCTGGCTGCAGGCCCTGCCCGGGCACCTCTGCCATTTCTGCAGAGCCTTGCGAGCACTGTCGCACTTCTGGCCCTTAGTCAGACAGGCCTCTGTGACATTCCAAGTCTGCACTGACTGCACTGAGTGAGGGGAATGTCCCATCGTCAGCATTCTCAGCATATTGCCTTGAAAATTGTCTGATCGACCTGATTAAAAATCAGATATTCTGATAAAATAATACAAAAACTTGACCAGTTATTTTAAATGTATTGTTAATTTGTATACTTTTACCCTGTTAAAGTTTATAACTAATTACTGTCTAACTGTGCTGTTGTCCCATGTTTTAAAACTAAAACTTGACTGACGTGAGGACCGACAGGCTGTGGCTGACACTCTCGTGGCGGTCAGCTCCAGGCCTCGCCTGTGCACCGGGGCTCGGCGTCCTGCCCTCTGCCCTGCCTCGGAAACGGCCTGGTTTCCATTCCGTAAATGTCTCTGTTAGGGTCGGGGTGGCCCTGTTTCTCAGGTGCTGAGCAAACCAGGCAGCTGGAGCTCACGCCCGGAGGACCGGGGACTCCGCCATCACTTGTCTGCGGGGACCGGGCTCCCTGGCCACTTGAGTCAGCGGCTTTCCCAGCCCCAGTCCAGCTGGGAACTGACATTCACTGAAGTGACGGGCCTGCTGGATATGCGCCCTTGAGAGGGACTGCTCCCCGGCTGCTTTCGCTAGGCCTCTGGTTGGAAGCCAGAAGGTGCTGGCAGGGTGTGTTTTAAGTGCTCCTGCTGCTGAGTAAAAGGAGAGCTGTTGGGTTAGGGGTCTGTCTGTGTGGGCTTGGCCTTTCGCTCAGTGTCTTGCATTTACACCTGTGTCATCTGAGCATCGAGGTCAGGTGTGGCTGAGCCGGGCCGTGTTGCTGTCAGAGCCGAGGCCGCTTGAGGCTGGCGTCGTTTGAAGTGCTGGTTAAGTATAATTTTCCTATTTGTTTTTTTACGCAGGAACGAAATAATTGTCTAGCAGACTCCAGAGCTCTGAGTGCCAGCCACACTGACCTGGCCCACTGCGGGCCAAGGCCGAGCTAGATAAGCCTGAGGCTCCCAGCCCTGCCAGGCCCCTGTCCACGCTGCCCGGGAGGGAGGCCCCAGCTCGCTTCCTTTTCCAGGTGGTGATCTCCACCACCCATGAGGTCTGCCCGGACTCTGTTATGTGCTCTGCAGTCCTCGTGGCCGAGAGCTGCCGCAGCATGACTGAGACCTGGCCAGGCACATCGGCCCAGGGCACAGGCCGGCCCCGCAGCGGTTTTACCTCGGACTTGGCCACTTCTCACGGACACCCGCACTTTCTGAATGACACCAAAATCTAGTTTAAATCCAGTATCGTTAATGCAGAACTTAATAGGCTGTAAGTTAAGAATCTGGAACCTTAAACTACATCCTTGGAGAATAAGCATCTAATGATCTGTGGCAGTAATGCCTGAATACAGAGGAGGGGGCCAGGAAGAGGAGCCCCAAGGGGCCTGACACCCTGGGCCCCCACACTACCCTTTGGAGCCCTGGCTGGTACACTTAGCACACGTTTTATTTCTAAAAGACTCTTTAAAAAGGTCCTTTAAAAAGGATTCAGATTGTTCTTTTCTGGGATTAAAAACAGGGTGGGTTTGGACAGGAATATTTTCAGGTCAATTCTAAGGCATTATTCCTCATTAGCACCTCTGTAAGCCCAACCGGCAGGCGAAGAAAATGCTAAACAAATGACAAATAGTGGTTCTAGAGGACAGCATCTGGGGCGCATACGGATACGTCCACGCCAGGAGCAAGAAGACTCACTCTCTAGATCTGAGGGTCGAACACCAGCGTCCCTGTGCAGCACCATCGGGCGGAGTCCCTTTGTTTCAGAGGAGAGCACAGTGCTGTCCCAGCTGAGGCCCAGCTTTTTATCCCCCACCTTCCACAGGGATAGCACTGGGCTGGGGCTCGTGGGGAAGTGCACTCGGAGGTGCCCCGGAGTCCGCATGTTGTTCGGCTGGGTGTGGACTTGGGCCGGGGGCAGCGCACTGGGGATTTGTCACAAGGTTGGGCTGGGACCTTCCTTCCAGTGTCCTATCACTGAACTGCTCCCTCGCAGGCCGGCCTCAGTTCATGGGTGCCCTGTGCTGCCCACGTCCACACGGACCAGCAGCCTCCGTGGCTGTGCTGCTCTTTCGCTCCTGACCCCCCTCTCGGTTTTCAGGCTCTGCCGGGCAGGGCTTCCTGCGTAAACTAAAAGCTGCAGGGCTGAGAAACCGCTGAAGAGCAAGCCGTGCCCTACGTGGGCCCTGCAGCTCCTGGAATTCACACGAGGCCCACTCAGTAGAGGGCAGCATGTCCCACTGTAGTCAGGAGGGGACTACGGAGCTGCCCCCTCCCCTTCACTCTGTGTGGAGTCTGCTTCTCCACAGCCACGGAGCTGACACAGCACCTTTGAAATTCACTGTTTCCCTCAATGACAGTCCCTTGGAAAACAGGGTATCCCAATGGAATGGGACTTAACTCCCAGTTGCTGGGAGCCCGTCTGCACAGGACCCTTTACTGAGCCTGACCCGGCTCCGGCCAGTGGTCCCAGTGCCCTTGGGGTCGTGGTTGCCTTCGCAGGCTGTGTGGTTTGGGGTGAGAAGACAGGAAATGAAGCCCGTGGGCATTGGCAGTTTCTGATTCTTGACCTTGTCCTGAGCAGGGAAGCGCTGGGCTGTGACCTTCCTCAGGTCCGCCGCCTGCATTTCACTTCCTGGAAGACAAGCAGTGCGCCAGCCTCTGCTCAGTGTCCCCCTTTACGGGTGTGGGGTGCCCTGGGAGCCGGCCCTTTCTGCAGAGTTCCTGTCTGAGTCCCTGGAGCTGGGCCGCATCTGCGGGGACCCCCCTCCCCCCACGTATCTGAACAGGAGAGTCCAGAGGGTGGGGGCGTGGGAGCAGGGTCTTCTGACCCTCCAGACTGCTGCCAAGGCAGAGGGCTGGCTGGGCGGGCGGCTCCGAGCCCCAGCGTGTGGTTTCTGTAATGTGGGAAGGGTTCAGATCATTCCTTTCTGGGATTAAAAAGCTGCTGGGAACAGCATGTCACCAGATTCAGTGCCGGTAGTAAAACACACATCACCAAGGACGCGCAGCTCAGAACAGCACGCTGGCCTCACTGTGGCATGGACGGCACAGCACAGCACAGGGCTGCCTGCGATGCGCCACATGCCCTTGCCAGTGGGGTCAGGTGGGCCCCAAGAGGCTGGCGGGCACCTCCCTGCAGCTGGTGACAGTGCAGACATGCTGTTCTGGGGGTCCCCACCGTGATGGGGGGACTTAGGGGTGGGTGTAGGTCTGAGGGGGCCTGGCCTGGGCAGTGCTCAAGGGGGTGCAGGGAGGCCCAGGATGGCAGGGGCGGGGCGCCTTAGGAAGGTCAGGTTCCTGGGCGGTCTGTGCTCGGAGGGCGGCCCTGGGCCTGGGTACAGCCAACAGCTGGGCAGGCAGGTGCAGGTGACCCAGGGGCTGAGCGCTGGGTGCTCACTGAATGCCTGTCCTGTCTTGGAGCTGTAGTCCTTTTTTCACTGACTAGTAAGTCATTTGGAATTGTTAATATTTAATTACAAAAATAAAGTGAATGTTTCCTGTTGTAAAGTTCCCTGCGCTTCAGCAGAAAGGCTCTGTGATACAAACTCTGGCCCGAAGGAACGCCTTCCCATTTGACACCAGCCGCGTTTAACCCTTTCAGGGTCACAGACTACTCTGAAAGTTAAAAATGGATCATCCTGCCCTAGAAAAATGTCCAAACAGAAAGTGGCTGTCCAATTACAGGGGTTAGCAGCCCCATCCCCAGAACAGGCACAGCCAGGGGTCAGGAGGTCCTCAGAGCTGGAGGGGGGTGGCCCAGTCCCTCGCCTGCTCAGTGCCTCCGTTTCTGAGAGCCAGGCTGGTATAGTCCCGTTTCCAAGGGCTGTGCAGAGCAGTCAGCGAGGGTCACTCACTTGGGACTGGGCCTAGCCAAGAGCATGTCATCAGTGAAAAGGCTCAAGGGCCACACCTGTGTTCACTTACACGTTTATTTGTCCGAGACCCACCCTATGCCAGGAGTATGGGAGGCACTGGGTAGGGATGAAGACTGTGTGGCTCTGCCCACACAGACGGAAGCCATGTCTTCTGGGCTGGACAGTCATGACCCTCAGTGACCTCTGGGCTTTGTGTCCCCACAACCAGATGGTCAGATTGTATCTGGTGTGTACCCACATGGGGCAAGACCCTGTGCAGATGGGAGGTTCCGCTTTCTGAAGTAAAGCCCGGGCAGTGAGGAGCTGGGTCTGTGCAGGGGCCCTGCCAGGTGTCCACCAGGCACCAAAGACATGCCAGGACCCGGTCTCTTTTTAAAATGTTCTCATTTGCGCAGAACTGGTTTTCCTAGCAGATGGGCCAAGACTTTCACAAGATGGCCTGGCTGTTTGCCGGTTGCCCCAGTGGTAGCTGGTGGCAGACAACCAAAAAGTAAAATAGCACCCTCCCCCTTTCAGATGGGGCACAGCCTGTGGGAGGAGGGCAGGAGCCCATGGGCACCATGGAGACCCGGGCACCAGGGCTCTTGGCCCCCATCCTGGGCAGGAGCTGATGCGGACACAGATGGAGAGCTCCCAGCAGGGCCAGCACCGGGGTTGGGGCAAGTGTTCCTGGCCACTCAGAGGGAGGAGCAGGTCCTGGCCCCAGGGCGGGGTCTGAGCTGACACCCTCAAGGAGACCCTGACCCAGAGATCTGTGCCAGCTCGGTCCCTGTCCCAGTGCATTCGGAGGGCTCTGCTGAGACGGGCTTTCTCAGCGTCAGCAGGGCTGGGTCCCAGGCGTCCCTCTCACACCCTCAGCATTGACTGTGTAGGAACAGGAAGAGGGGGGCAGGTGGGGGGCGAAGACTACCCTCAGGGTACGGGTGTGGCGGCCCAGCGGGTCCTCCTCGGGGCGGTGCCGGTCTGCCATCAGCCTCATGAGCAGCTGGTTGGACCAGGTGATGCCGAGGGCGGGGGCAAGGCGCTCCTCCGGGGCCCTGAGCAGGAGATGGTCCGTGTCACTCACAGAACCAGGCCTCACGTGCCCCCTGCCCACGGCCCTGCCCACAGCCATGCTCACCTGGGCAGCCCAGGTGCTGTGTCCTGCATGGCCTCTGTCACCTGGAAGGTCAGACGAGGGTCAGTGGCAGAGCTTCTCCCTGCAGGGGAGGGCGGGCAGGGAGGGCAGCCCACCTGGTTGATGCAGAGCACCGGGCTCTGGAAGGCCCAGCTCAGCCTGCGCAGTGCGGCCCCCAGCGCCTGCAGAGCCCGGGCCCTGCACGCCGAGGCCGGCCCGTCAAACTCACAGCGGAAGGGGGCCGCCACGGAGTCGATGACCAGCAGGCGAGCCATCCCCCTCGACAGCAGCATGGGCACCTTCTTACTCACACACTCCAGCAGCGCGTCCTGGAAGCCGAGGGGAGGTGGCCGTCACCACCCGCGCCTCGCCGCCTCGCCTCCTCGTGCTCAGGGACCCCTCATGTCTGTCCTGTCTTCCCGAGTCTGGTGGGTGTGACCCCTGCTCTCGCTCAGGCCCTTCACTGTGACCCTCTCCCTCGCGTCTTCGCACCTGGCTCTGACCACCTGGACCTGGCCCCATCTCCAAGGTCAGCCTGTCAGCTCGTTACCAGGACTGTGCCCTTGTCATTCGGGCCTGAGCGTCCGGGGGCAAAGGGGAGAGAGCACGGTCGGTCCTGCCCCCGGCCTCGCCTGGCACGGAGACCCTGGGCTGTGCCCAGGCTGCACACCGGGACACCGAGCTCGGCCGGGTGGGGCTGCCAGTGTCCGAGCCAGCCCTGGCCACCTGCAAGGCCTCGTGCTCCCAGCAGCCTGGCCTTGCCGGGGGCCGAATCCGCTGGGCTCCGGGCCGGGGCAGGGTGTCCTCGGCCTGCCGGCCGGGACGCAGGTCCTCGGAACTCGCAGGCGCTGCCAGGTGTGGCTCCTCGCCCTGAAATGAGTTCCGCCTGTGCTTCGTCTCCAGGGCGTCTCCGGGGCCTCTGGGAAGTGACAGCGGCGGCAGCGGGCTGGAGGACGCTGACGTGAACGTGAGTCCCGCACCCGCCACGCCGGCGGCGCCAGGCCCTGGGGCGGGCAGGTGCTGGCATGCCCACTGGTGGAGGGCCAGGGTGCCAAGAGGGGCCTAGCCTGGAGACCCCCAGACTGGGCAGACACCCGGCGAGGGGGCGGAGGCCTGCTCCCCCACAGGCGGTGCGGAACAAAACTCAGAGCTGCCGCCGGGCCCTGACGCACAGCCTCCCCTCACAGTGAGCACACCGCCCTGGAGGACGAGGACCACGCTGCTCGCGCGAGGCCAGAGCCGGCCCTGTGACAGCCAGGGACAGTCGCCGAGGGTGGAGGGCCCTGGAGCTGGGAGCCTGCAGCACTAACCTCCTGTGTCCCCGCCCGAGCGCACACGGTCACACTAACAGCCACACTGCTCAGTGGGACGAAAGGCCACAGCCACACTCGGCCCCTAAGGGTGGGCAGGGCAGTGGGCACCGCCACCCCCCGGGGCAGCGTCTCGGGAGACCTTGCCTCTCGTTGCCTGGCCATCGGGCCGTTCCCCCATTCCTTCCCCATGCCATGTGTGATGATGTATTTTATTGTAAATTTTTTAAAAATTAAAAGTTTATATGCCTTATCCTTTACGTGTAGTTCATTGCAAGTCCTAAAGCCGGGGCAGGGGGGGAGCTGGAGAGGCCCCGGCCATGCTGGGTTTGGGTTAACCTCCTGTTTCTTCTGAGTCCTTCCACTCGCCCCCCAGCAAAGCGTGACCCGTCCCACACCGCGTCCCTGCTCGCTGGCGGCCTGAGGGGGCTGGTCCAGGCTGGTGCCGTCCTGCCCTGCCCAGGGGTCTTTCCTGCCATCAGCAGAAGGAATAGCAACCTGGACAGTGGTCCCTCGGGCAGGGGGCAGGCTGGGTGCCCTGTCCCCACTCCTGGTGGGTAGGGTGACTGAAAACACACAACGCCTCGTTCATCCCGAATTCCAAGTGACCAGCCCGCCCGTCTAGCTGAGCGCGGGGCACCCTCGGACCCGGGAATGGGGGGACGGCAGGACACTCACCACGTCGGCCACGTGCTCGATGAAGATGTGGTCGCCAAATTTGATCCTCCTGATCGTGTCCACGGGAGCGTCTGTCCGCAGGCACTGCTGCTGGGCGATGAGCTGCTGCAGACGCCTGTTGGGGAAGGCGTCCTCCGTGCAGACGTACACGGCCCCTGGGGACCAGGGTGTGAGGGCGCCCCTGCAGCCGCCAGCCCGCCCAGCCCGCCCTGTGCCGGGAGGCAGGACTGTCCTCCCCCACAGCCTCCTCCCGGCCGCACCGTCGGCTGCCCCTGGCGCTGTCTTCAGTAGACATGAGTGGACTTAGGACCCACAGGCCTTTGGAAATGTCCGTGCCCCCCCCCCACGAGGGAGCTACCCTGAGGCTCCTTTGGGCCTATGCCTCCTGGATGCCGCTCTGTTTTGTTTTTAAATCCTCACCGGGGGGTTTTTAGAGAATGAGGAAGGCGCGGGTGGGCGAGTAGAGAGAGAAACATCCATGTGAGAGAGAAGCCAATCAGTTGCCTCCCATAGCTGTCCTGACCGGACAGATGGAAGCTGCCACCCTTCGGTGCACAGGAGGGGCCTGGGTGCCCCTGTGAAGGCTCCGCCTGTGATTCAGACTATGGGTGGTTAACTCTGTATTTGCCGGAAAAGCCGGTAAACAACACGCAGTGTTACCAGGAGCATGAATGTCCGGGGACATGAAACGCTGACCAGGACCTGGGCCCTGCACCACAGAGCGGACCCTGGGCCCAGCAGCCGAGAACCAGGGGCCGTCGAAAGTAGCCCTTCTGCCCGGCCGATGTGGCTCAGTACCTGAGCGTTGACCCGTACACCAAGAGGTCGCCCGTTCGATCCCCGGTCAGGGCACATGCCCAGGTTGTGGGCCTGATCCCCAGTGGGGGGCATGCGGGAGGCGGCCAATCGATGTTCTCTCTCATCGATGTTTCTCTCCCTCTCCCTCCCTCTCTCTCTAAAATCAATAAAGGAAGAAAAATTAGAAAAAAAGAAAGAAGCGCTACTGTTTATGCAGCTGAGTTTCAGCAACGTCCCAGGACCTTCAACAGAGAAAGAAGGGTCTTTTCAACAAGCAGTGCAGGACAAGGGGACCCACGCAGATGGGCCGTAACAGCCACAGCGGAACTCTCAGAAGGGAATGTGCGTAAACCCTCATGACCGCGGGTCAGGCAGTGGATTCTCAGATATGACCCCAAAAACACAAGGGAAAAAAGGTCAACTGGGCTTCATCAAAATGAGTTCCCTGCTTCCAAGGACGACACCCGCAGGAAATGAAGGGACAGCCACCGAGCACGGACGTGTCTGACAGCCTGTCTCCGGGGCACACAGACCTTTCAGCTCAGCCACTAAGCCGGAGACCCCGATTGTAAAGTGGGCAAAGGGTCTGGACAGACGTTTCTCCAAAGAAGATATACGGGTGACCAACAAGCTCGTGAAAAGATTCAGAACACCCTCAGTCCTTTTGGGACAGCAGGGGGCCGGGGCACCCCACCACGGCCGTGCAGTCTGCGGGTGCCTGTGGCACTTCTCAGAGCGGCACATGTAGCGGAGCAGGACCCACAGGACCGTGAACTTGTCAGTAAGCTCGTCCCCCCACCGCCCTCGGCGCGTCACAGGGCTTCCCGGGGAGGGCGCCTCTTCGCCGGGGCCGGGGCTGGGGTCAGAGTGTGCAGGCAGGCTCCACGCTGGGCGCGTGCCCTGGGATGGCAGATGCCGGCAGCTACGACCACCTGCCCCTGGGGCCCGCTACCGTCCCCCACGAGGCAGAAAGCATCTCCTGTGTGCCAGGCGCACTCTGAGTCCAGACACAGACCCGCATCTCAGCGTGGCCAGATGCCGACCGGTAACTGCTGAGCGACTGCTTCGGGAGAAGCGGGTCCCCAGGGCCATGGTGCAGCCCAGGTGGCCAGGCCCAGGAGACGCAGGACTGCGGGTTGTGGCCAGCTCCCCAGGCTGCCAGCCCCCTCTCCAGAGGCAGATGGGCAGAAGCTCTGAGTCCCAGCAAAGAGCGGGCCCACCCACAGGCCGCGCCGGGAACGCAGGGAGGGAGGGACCTTGTTTCTGAGCGAGCCCAGTCTGTCTCTTGGCAGCTCCTGTGGGGTCAGCTGACAGCTCGGACCAGGTCCACCCCTAGGCACCCATCTCAGACAATGGGGCAGAGGGCGCTGCACCCTCTTCCGCCCGGGCCCTCCTGGGCTGTACCCTGTCAGGAGACCCTGCACTAAACCCACGTGGCACTGTGCCTGGCAGCTGCATAGGGTCATGGACCCTGCTCCACAGAGCTCACGGCGACCCCGGGGACACAGGCAGGATCCCACACCGAGTTCCCACCCAGAGGCCCCATGGAAGTCCCAGCTACAGCGAGGACTTGTCAGGTCATCCACAGCAGGTCTGACAGCAGGGTGAGGAGGCAGCCTGGCCTTGGAAGGTGGGGTCCAGGTCTGTCTCTGGCGGTCCCGGCCCATGCTGGGCAGGGCAGGGGCCCCGTCTGGGAGTGGGGTCAGCCACAGGCTGCAGGGCCAGCAGCAAGAGGCACTGCGTGCTGTGTGTCTGCAACTGCCAAGCTCCATGGGGGCCGCGTCAGCACCAGGGGCTTGCGTCACAACCAAGGCGCCGCTCTGGGGATCTCACGTGCAATCAACGTCTCGAATTTCAACGCAGGAGACCCAGACAGGCCACCTTGAAAACTCCTCACCTCAAACACACGCCCAGGCAGGACAGGCCTGCAGCCCCTCCGAGCGAGGAAGGGGGCTGTCAGCAAGCGGCCTGCAGGCTGGTGGCGCGCGGCCACCTGTGCAGGTGAGGGCGTGGGCACCTGCGGGCCAGCCCACAGCCGAGGGGACTCTGCTCGCAGGGACCGCGGGGGTCCCTCTCCCCAGGAGGGCTCGCACAGCCATGTGAAAGGGAAGATGCCAACCGCAGGGGCCAGCCCTGGGTCCCAACCTGGATGGGCAGCGGCCAAGAACAGAGCCCTGGACTGAGAGCCTACCAGACCCCCCGCGCCTGCCAAGGGGCCGCCACTCACCGGCCTCCAGGCCTCCATGCTGCCGAGGGAGCTGCACAGCCAGGCACAGCTGCAGCGCCAGCTGGGTCTTGCCCGCCGAGCTGCGGCCGGCCAGCTCCGTGATGCCGCCCAGGGGCAGGCCGCCGCGGAGCAGCCCGTCCAGCACAGGGCAGCCCAGGCTCAGGCGCTGGTGCTGCTCGGGGAAGCGCTCCTTCTGCAGGCGCAGGTCGAGTGCTGAGGACGCAGAATCAAGGGTGGGCAGGTGCCAGGGGCAAGGAGGTGGCCACACAGGGTCCCTGGGCATGTCCTCCTGGCCAAGAGGCCCCTCCCAGCTCAGGGCCTTGCCTGATGGCCCACTCACCCCTGCTTCCTGCAACCCTGGGCCTTGGCCCTTCTCCTCTGGCCCAAGAACCGACCCACGTTGTGAGGCCCCCAGTGCCTCCCGATCTCAGCGCCACCACCATGCCCTGCAGACTCCTCAGCGGAGTCTGTGCCCATGCCCCCAGCCGGGAGGAGGACCCATGAACTGCGGGGTGTCAGGCAGAGCACACCTGTCTGCCCACCTGTGAAGATGCTGCTGCCCCGCAGGTGTGAGGAGACCATTCTCAGCAAGTGCTGCACGTCAGGACCCGAGAGGCCGGTCAGTCTCTGCAAGTCTGGTCCAGAAAAGTGCAGAACCTCCTTGAGTGACTTCAGTTTGGCTGAAATGACACCAGCACATTACAGGTCAAGGTCAGACAGTAGTAACAGCAATGCAGCAGTGACTGGAGGGACGCGGGCTCCAATTCGGGGGACTATCTACTCCCTGCATCACGGTCCCCTGGGCAGAGTGTCATGACGACAGGACAAGGAGGGAGGGCCTGGCGGCGACCACCCTCAGCTGCAGCAGGGAAGCCAGGGTGGGGAGGTGAGGGCGGGCGGGGCCTCACCCAGTTCTGCCAGGAAACCTCTCAGGAAAGACCTGCCCATAGTGCACCTGGGGGCTGAGCCCAGGGCCCACACCTGAGGGAGAGCGCGCAGGAAGGACAGCTGCCCCAACATGCCCACTCTGGCAGCCAACCAGGACGGCGGGGGCATGAGGCAGGGATGACAGCGATGGCGGGGTGGCTAGTGCGCACCACGGGGTGGGGAGGGTCCCAGAGGTAACGTGTCCGAAGGGTCTGGTTATTTGGGAGTAAAGTGGATAAAGTAATTTTGGGCTTGGATAAATGTATATTTTCAAACTAATAGAATAAGAAATATGCTAAAAATATATCCAGCCAATCAGAAGAGGCAAAGAAGAGAAAACAACACAAAATAGAGATAGGACGAATAGCTCAGCATCAGGGAGTTAAACCCAAATTTATCAGGAATGACCTCCGTTTCCCTGTTTAGACAATTTACTTTGAGGAAAATAAAATGAACTCTTAAAAGGTGCCTTCAGCCCTGGCCGGTTTGGCTCAGCGGTTAGAGCATCGGCCTGCGGTCCTGAGAGACCCGGGTTCGGTTCCCGCTAAGGGCATGTACCTTGGTTGCAGTTTGTCCCCGGCCTTGGTTGGTCGTGCGGGTGGCAGCCACTCGATGTGTCCCTTTCACATCGATGTTTCCCTCTCTCTCTCTTCCTCTCTCTCCTTCCCACTCTGTCTGTACAAAAAATGGAAAAATGTCCTCGGATGAGGATAAAAAAAAATAAAAAAAAAGGTGCCTTCAGTTACACACACGAAGAGCCCACCCCTGCGGTCCCAGGCATTCTGGCACGAGCGCCGCGGTCCAGGGACGTGAACGGAGTGGGGGACGTGGCGAGGACAGGCCACCGTGGTGCCAGTTCTGCAGAAAGTACAGCCAGGTGTCTGCACATACCAGTGAGTATACCTTTCTTAACTGCGGCAGTAATTCTGGGATTCAGGTCCAACTGATCCAAGTCCATTTCTTCAGGGGGTTGGCCACAAAGACGAACAAATTCCCAGGGACACAAATTCTGATGAACTTGTCAACTCAGACCTTCTGGGGTCCCCTTTGCGGTGGTCACTGCCAGCCCACAGGTGGGAGGAGCCTTCCCTCTGCAGGGACACCGCTGGGGTGAGGCTAAGGCGACACCTCCGTCAGAGCCATCCTTGGTGGGCAGAAACCCTGGACTCAGCCACATACTGATGCACTGGAAGAAACCCCCAGCACACTGACCTCCCGACGTGCAGGTCACCACAGCACAGGGCTGTCCCCTCCCACCCCCTGCAGAAGGCACAGAAGGGAGCCCACGCCCCTGGACGGCCCCACTCCCGGGGAGGACCTTGTGGGCAGATCCATGAGCACTGGGCTCACTCAAATGAAGTGTCTATTGCACTCTCCACTTTAATTTCCCTTACAGTCGGCCCTCGTTCATCGCGGTGAATCAGCTCCGGACTCTACCGCGATAAGTGAATTTCCGCGAAGTAGGATTCTTTATGTACAGCTGTCCCTGCCACTTCGCGCTTCGACTTTCGCAGCTTCACTCTGTCGTGGTTTTTCAAATACGCTAGCATATTTGACAGAACATTTTTCAAATATACTAGCATATAGTATTTGACAAAAACCGCGATAGAGGGAAGCCGCAAAAGTCTAGTGTGAAGTGGCAGGGACGACTGTAATGTGTTTCCCTGGGGAATCTGGAAAGACTGGGAAAAGTGAGTTTGAGATCTTACAGGATGCTGGGAGGGGGAGGGGTGGAACCTCGGTGACCACCAAGCTGTCTCAGCAGAACAATGAAGAGGTGTCTGGCGGGCGTGGCCCTTCCCTGGCCAGCATGTGGGTGGCCTCCTCCCAGCCCTCCAGGGGCCTGGGCACTAAATGTGACATGACAGGAGCCCAGCCCGCTGGTCGGCACTCACTCAGCCCACTGTCACCCAGCAGCTCTCCCGACAACCTCCCAGAACAGCAGGGCAGTGCGGGCGCCAAGGCCAGCAGCCGCTCGGGCCAAAGCCTGCGTCACTGTCCACCAGCAGGCCCAGTGCTCCCGGCGGAGGGGACAGCTACACAGCTTGGAAGGCTACGTTGACTTGGACATTAGCTTGTTTTTGAAGCTTCGGGAACCAGGCCGCACGCTCGCACAGTCCGGTCAGGGAGTCACGGGTCTGGCGCTGGGGAGGGTCGTCACGTCACACCTTAGTCCGTTCCACAGACTGTTCTAAGCCCTTGACACGAATGAACTCCCTCAAACCTCACAACAGCACTATTACAAACTCCGCTTTGCTGACGAGGGAACGGAAGCACAGAGTGCTTGAGTGACAAGCTGAGGTCACACAGCCAGCAAAGCTGCCCTGGCTCAGGTCCAGACTGCACGTCCTAAGCCCTTGACCAGTGTTAGGCTGACCCTGAGCTTACATGGCACCTGCCTGTTACCATTCCAACAGGAACTGTTCTGTCTCTACACTCTGCAAAACCTAGTTACCCAGAGGCCGACCTGTTCGGGGGTGCCCAGCCTCGTTGGGAGCAGCCCACTCTCAAAGTGGGCACCTTTCCTGCTCCCCCTAGCATAAGGGAGCTAGGGGCTCTCCATCCTTGAGCTGTTGGGAGCTTTCACCAGCGACTGTGGGTGGTCCCCGTTCTCCCACGCTTGGACCCCTGAGCCCTCCTCCCTTCTCAGGACCCTCTTCCTCCCCTGGGAACCCTTTTTCCTTTCGGTCCCTGAGCGATCTTGCCCCACAGCTTTGAGCTCTCCCCATTCCCCAGTGACTCCCTTGCCCCCGGTGCCCAGCGTGCGCCCTCCGGATGGACCAGGAGGACCCACCTTTCCACCACACGCCTGTTCTTCCCACGGTGCACTCCAACTCCGTGGCTGTCCACCACCACCCTTGGGTCCCCTGACCCCGCCCTGTCTCCACCTCTAAAGCACCTCGATTTCACACGGTCCGGGTTCACCTCTAACCCCAGGGTCCCGGGGCTGCTGCCATAACACAAACTGGGGCTGCGGCTGGGCTGCCTCCCCCAAACCCTGCGGGGAGACAGCCCCACGCATCAGCCTTTCCCCTCAGCTCATGAACCCGGCTGCACCGGCCCCAGGTCCATTCTCACCGCCAGGACCCCGCTAAGCCCTGTGCCCCAGCCGCCCTCTGCCCTCGCCCAGCCTCCTAGGCCCCGCGCCCCGACCCGAGCCCCACCGACAGCGGTTCCCACCTCAAGCACGCTCCACATTCGCGCCGTCCCGCCCCTCGCAACCTCCTCTTCCAATGAGCGCCAGGCGCCCCGCGCCTGATACGCCAATCAGAGAGAACGCCAATTCACGTCACAGACAAACTGACCAATCCAAAGTCTCAAGCTCCTTGAGAGGGGTGGAGCGTACCTGGGCCGGCCCTCAATACCGATTGGTGACTGACCACAGGGTGGCAGGGGAGGTGCCCTAGCGCCGATTGGAGAGAGAAGCGATGGGGCAGGTCCCGGGCACCGATTGGTCCGAGCTTCGAGCCGAGCGTGCCGATTGGGCGCAGGCGCTGTCAGCTGCATGGGCAGGGCGGGGCTTTTGGAGGGGCTAGGGCCGTGCGAGGGCGGTGGGCGATCGCTGGAGTCGCGTCATGTCCTCCGAGGTGGCCTCCCGCTGCGACGCCAAGAAGTTGGTGCGCTCGCCAAGCGGCCTGCGCATGGTGCCCGAGCACCGCGCCTTCGGCAGCCCGTTCGGCCTGGAGGAGCCGCAGTGGGTCCCGGACAAGGAGGTAGGTCTCGGCCGCCCGCCAGCGCCCCCGTCGGCGCTCCGGACCCACGGCCCCGAAACCCGCGTCCGCGCCCCGGAGACCCCCGCCCGCACCCCGAACCCGCATCGTCACCCCAGAGCCCCACGTCTGCACCCCGGACCCGCGTCCGCACCTTGAACCCGTCCGCTCCCCGGGCCTCCGTCCGCACCCAGGACCCCCGTCCGCACACCCCAAGTGCGCCCCGGACCTGCCTCGCCTCCCGGGCACCCCCTACTCTCTCCGTCCCCTTCCGTCCCCGCGTACTCGCCCCGGGCCCACACCGCCTCCCCGCCTCCCCGACGCCCCTCCCCAGCCCGACCAGCTCCCTGTTCCCCGCTCCCCTCCTCTGGCTCCCGCCCGTCCTCTCACGGCCGCACTCGGGCACCGTGCTCCGCACCCTGGGCAGTCCCCGGCTCCGCTGCCCGCGCTCCACCCTTCCCGGGCCCTTGGGCACTCTGCCTTCTTCCTGGCGCTCTCTCTCGGGGCGCCCGAAGTCCCCCATCCACGCCCCTCCCCGAGCTTCTGTGTCACTTGCACGGACCTCCCGTCCCGAGTGTCCCGGGCTTGGCCCACCTGGAGGTCATCTGTGAAATTCCACGACAACAGTTGAGTTTCTGGGGTGGGGACCATCGAGACCCAGTTGCAGCCCCCAGTCGAGGGGAGCGGAGCCCGATGCTTATTTTTAGTACAACCTTCTCTGCAGGGGGCGCCCCGCTGCGTGGACTGCGTGGGGGGGGGGCGTGGCGGGGCGTTTGCGCGGAGCCTCCTGGTGGAGAGCAGGGGCGCGTCCTGTTTGGGGAGCTGCACCTGCTCCGAGTGACAGGAGCGCCTGAGGCTGCCAGAGGGGAGGGCGCGGCCGGGAGCTGCCCTGGTGGCGGGTGGGCGCCGTACCTGATGGCCCTTTTGTGACACGCCAGGGGTTTGGACTCCGGCCCATCCGCCAGTAATTCTCCGTTACCAAAGCCAGGCGGAAGAGTCGCGTGCATTCCTGTCAATCAGATTTGTCTAAAAAGCATCAAGTGCTGTGACTTTTTTAAAACTAAATGTGTTGGGGTAGCATTGTTTGATAACATTATATCAACTTCAGGGGCAGGACTTTCTAACAGGACATCCACCGAAATCTAGTGTCCCCTTGCTTTACCCTCTTCCCCCTTCGCTCTGGTGACCCCCGGCCGTTGTACCCATGGTTTGCTCCTTTCCGTTTGTCATGGTCATCCACATGACAGTGAGACCATCCAAGTGCTTTGAGGGTGCTTAACTTAGAGCCCCCACGCGGGGACCAACTGCTGTCCCCTCTCCCTGAGAATCTCCCTTACGGTGGCAGGTTTTCTCCAGAGGAATGACATCCCTGTTTTTAAAGCAGTGGGGTAGTGAAGTGGGGGCAGTTGGGGGGCAGGGCTGCAGGAGGAGGACACCTCCCCTTCCCCTCGGAGGCCTGGAGAACTGGCAGTGGGTGGCAGTCACTGTGTTGAGAGAGTTGAGAGAGGCCAGCGCACAGGGAGGGTGGGAGTTGCCCAGGCCACCAGGGCGATGATGGGGAGCATGCCAGGCCACAGGCTCCCCGGTTTCTCGTCGCTCAGTTGCACCCTTTCTTTTCTGCATTTCTGCCCAAGGTGCTGGTCCTGTGGACTCACAGAATGTACCTTCTCTCACACGCTTCCTTGGTCAGTGCTGTTAAAGGGCAGTCAAAGGGGAAAAAGGCAGAGCGGGACTCTCCTTGTGAGTACGTGTCCCAGAGTTCACTGAGCTGTGAGGGAGCAGTGCCATCGTCAAGAAATCAAAATAGCACAAAGTGACGTAAAAGAAGGCCAGTGAGTGGCCTCGCAGATAGAGGCCAGCTGGTCTCTTCCACGGTGTGGCTGGGGCCACAGCCTGGGCCAACGCAGGTGGCCCGCGCCGGGGCTATCCTGGAGGCCTGGCCAGGGGGTGCCAGCTTTTCCCCCTCTTGCCCCCTCAGGAGCCTCTTGAGACGTTTTTGTCTCTGATCCCCATGGAATTTCCACGCGGACATGTGGCCCGTGCGGGCCTGTGTGGCTGTGTGGAGGCTGTGGTCTGGGCAGCCCCCCAGCCCAGGCCCTGCTGACTGCTGTGCTCACCCCCCCCCCCCCCGGGGCTCCCCTCGCTAGAGCCCTTGGTGCCTGTCCCTGCCTTCCTCGCTGGCTGCTGGCTGCGCTGTGGAATTCAGCCGGGGGCAGGAGTGTCTCGGGCCCAGCCCAGGCCCTCTGGAGGACTCTTGCGAAATTCTGATCAAGTTGGGTTGAAATGCTTGAGGCGTGGTGCCTCCCTGACAGGTTTCTTTCCCGTGTTGGAAGGATGGCAGGTGCCCCTCCAGAAAGGAGGGTGTGGCGCACACGCTGGCGCCTGCCTGGTGCCCTGATGCTGGGCAGTGCCCAGCTGCATGCATTCAGCCGTACTCTGCCTGGTCAGCGTTCTGGGGACGCTAGGACCACTGTGTGCAGGGAGATGGCTCCGAGTGGAGACCCATTTGTTTTGTTTTTGTTTTTATCCTCACTCGAGGCCATTTTTGCATTTATCTTCAGACAGAGCGGGAGGGAGAGAGGGGGAAGAGAGAGAGAGACACATCGACTGGTTGCCACCCACACAACCCCAACCGGGGGCTGGGGGCAAACTGCAACCAAGGTACGTGCCCTTAGTGGGAACCGAACCCGGGTCTCTCCGGTCCACGGGCCGACGCTCTAACTGCTGAGCCAAACCTGCCAGGGCGAGACTCACTTACTTGTGAGGAAGGTTTGTTCGTGGTGCCCTGGACCTGGGCGGGGCGGGGGGGGGGGATGGCAAAGGGTTACACAGATTAGTGTCACTTTGGCTCCATCTTCCTTGGTGGTCTGAGGCCAGCCAGGCCACACCCACTGTCCTTACAAGATGCCTGACCCTGGGCCCTCAGGGACATCCCTTATAGTGTTGGAAATTTGGGGGGGGTGGTGCATAAGCCTGTAGCTTTCAGCTTCTGAGGGGTTCCTGCCCCAGAAATAACTGAGGATCGCTTCTCTAGTGTGAACCCGAGGGTTCTGCAGCCTGTGCCCCTAGAAGCTCGTGGGCAGGGAGCTGGGGAAGCCTGAGGATCAGCTCAGGGCTGTGGGACCTGCCATCGAAGCGTCTGATGGCACAGAGCAGCCTCGGCAGCGGGTCCTCTCGGCATGTGCCCTAAGGACTAGTCCCAAGCAGCCAAAGGATTGAGTTTTCTCCTTAAACCCATGCAGTTTTGTACCCCTTTCGTCCTGTCCTCAACACTGGGTATCTCCAGTGAGGACGACAGCGTGGTGCAGAGCTCGGGGCGCGCACCGGTGTGTTAGACGTACCACAGAGGCAGGCGGGGGAGGGCTCATCCCACAGGTCCTGGCAGAGGGCGGGCTTCGCACACTGCCCCAGGAGGGGGTCTCTGAGGTCAGGCAGAAGAGGGCTTTATGGGGGTGGCCAGGCTGGGAGAGAGCAGGCGGAGGTGCAGGGGGAGGGGGACATTCAGGTGCAGTGGTGTGACCCGACAAGACCAGGGTGCGTCGCCCAGGTCAGCCGTGTCAGGCTGAGGAGGTCAGATTCAGGAGCCTGTAGGAAGGAGAGAAGCTTAACTGAAGTGTGATGAGTCGGGGGCGTGGGCACTGATTCCGACTGATGAGTGGGGACACACAGGCCCGCCAGGTGAAGAGTGGAATTTGGGGTCAGCATCCTGGGTGGGGAGCGGCATCTATGAGTCTTCACTGGGTCACATGGGAAGCGGGCTCTTTGCAGAACACTTCCCAGAACACTGAAGGTGAGTTCATCTAGCTGGCACTGCCCAGTCTGGGGAGCGGCCCACGGTGCCCTGCGGCCACGGTGCTCTGCGGCTCTGGGAGAGACCGGCCTGAGGCCACGGCGGGGTTCCTGGTGTCTAGAGGGTCACCAGAGTTGCTAGGATGTGGTCTGTGGTGTCTGCACCTTGTGTTCTCTGAGCTGTGACCACCTGTACGTTGTAGAGACCTGCTGTGTGGTGGACGGGTCTAGGCCCCTCCCGGATTCACCTGGGAGCTGGGTTTCTGACTCTGACTGGGTCCCTCACTGATTAAGTCTTGGACACAGGTTCATTTTTTTATTTGTAGGAGGTGTGTTTTTACTCTTCAAAGAGGATTATCTTTCAACAAAGATACATCAATACATGTATTTTTAAAAACTTAAATGATATATATATATATTTTATTTTTTATCCTCACCTAAGGACACCTTTGTCTTCAGATAACGCGGGAGGGAGAGAGGGAAGAAGAGAGAGAGAGAAACAGCGATGTGAGAGAGACACATCGAGTGGCTGCCACCCACACGACCCCAACCAGGGCTGGGGACAAACTGCAACCGAGGTACGTGCCCTTAGTGGGAACCGAACCCGGACTCTCTGGTCTGCAGGTGACGCTCTAACTGCTGAGCCAAACCAGGGCTATGACACTTATTTTTGAGGACCCTAACAAATGGTCTAGTGAAAGCCTGGGGCCAGGCACCCAGGTGGGAGGGTGTGACTGTCCTCCCGCCTCAAAGGGAAGGTAGGCATGTGTCCTAAACTTTGCTCTTTTTGTAGTAACTTTTTTTGTTTTGTTAAACCTCACCGAGGGTATTTTTCCATTATCTTCAGATAGAGTGGACAGGAGGGAGAGAGAGAGAAAGAATTGATGTGAGAGAGACACATCGATTGGTTGCCTCCTGCAGGACCCCTACTGGGGACGGGGATTGAACCTGCAACTCTTCGACCCTTTGGTTTGCTGCCGATACTCCAACCGCTGAGCCAAACAGGCCAGGGCTTCACATTCCTTTGAACTTTCCAAACTTTGCATTTTTGGACTATGTTACCTTCGAGGGGAGACTCTTTGGGGGCAGGGACTTGACCTTTGGGGGCAGGGACTTGTGAAGAGTTGACCTGGGCACCTGTGGGGGAAGTAGGTCGGCAGAGACCCAGGCCTCTAAACAGCCCAGGGCCCCTTCTATCCTGAAGGCTTTGCCCCAGGTCCGGTACGGGGCCCTTTTTGATTCTCTTCCTGCCCGTGGCTCCATTCACAGACCCTGTCTGGGCCTTGTCCCAAGTCGTCACATGTCTGCTGCTCACTGGGCCAGTGAGGAGCCAGCATCCAGGAGGGTGGTAGGAGGTGGAGCCACAGGGGCTGCCCAGGGGCCACTCCTCCTCACTGGCTTCCTCCCGTGGTACCAGGAGGCTCCTATTGACACTGCTTCCGGGGAATAAGAGGCTTTCAGAGGCCACTGCTAGTCCCACCCTGGCAAGGTGTCCATCTGTCTATGACACGGCCTGAGTCGGCCCAGCTAGGGATCCAGGGGCAGATGGTCTGTATGCACCTGTGCGTCCCTGTGAGCACGCCTCTCCCGCCTCCACCTGCACCTGGCCAAACTCCGCCTTCCTAAGCTTCCTCAAGGCCCTTTGGTGGGCCACCCCGGCAGACCTGGGGCCCCTGTGATTGTGCCTGTGTGGCCATCAGCCCTGCCCTCCGGGGGCAATGAGAGGCTGGCATCACAGACACTTGCTGCACATGGTGGGAGGAGTGGGTCCCAGCCGGTTTCTGGACACGGGTGCATTCTCTCTCCCCAGGTAGCATTTCCCAGAGCCCGGCCACTGTGCCCTGTGCCCTTACCAGGCAGGTGCTAGTTCTGGGGCGGTGGTCTCTCAGATCTTCACCCGCTGCTTTACTTCCTTCTTTAGTTCCCTTTCATGCTACACTGCTCTGCTGAGAATTTCAAAACTGCCTTTCCTCTTACACAGTCAGTGGGGGATCGGCTTGCTTTTTGTTTTTTTTGTTTTTTGTTTTTTGTTTTTATCCTCACCCGAGGACATTTTTCCATTTTTTGTACAGATAGAGTGGGAGGGAGAGAGAGGAAGGGAGAGAGAGAGAGAAACATCGACGTGAAAGGACACATCGAGTGGCTGCCACCCGCACGACCAACCAGGGCCGGGGACAAACTGCAACCGAGGTACGTGCCCTTAGCGGGAACCGAACCCGGGTCTCTCCGGACCGCAGGCCGATGCTCTAACCGCTGAGCCAAACCGGCCAGGGCTTGCTTTTTGTTTTTTATCCTCACCCGAGGACATTTTTTTCCCAGCATTTATCTTCAGATAAAGCAGGAGAGAGGGGGTAAGAGAGAGAAACATCCATGTGAGAGAGACACATCGCCTGGCTGCCACCCACACGACCCAACCGGGGCTGGGGACAAACTGCAATCGAGGTACGTGCCCTTAGCGGGAACCAAACCCAGTCCGCGGGCCGACGCTCTAACTGCTGAGCCAGACCAGCCAGGGCGGTCACTGTGTTTAAAGTCCTGTTTTCTGAAGAACATCACTGGTTGTTTAGAGGAATGAAATCCTTCTATATCACTGGTTTTAAGGGAGCAATTTTAAAATTCTAGATGTGGTCTTCTGTTCAGAGATTGGCTTTAGACTTGCCGGGGCATGTGGGCCTTGCAGTGACTGGAGGCAGTGCCTGGCAGCGGGGTCTGCGGTGACTCGGACCCTGGGAGGATGCGTCCCGGCTGGAGCTGTCACACTTAGTAGGACCGGCCCCTGTGAGCCTGCTGTCATTTAGCCTTGCTGGCTACAGCCCCCTCGGCGCTTCCTCCATGGGTTCTGTGGCTGGAGGGTGTCGGGGTCACGGGAGAGAGTGGCCGGCTCAGAGGCCTGAGCAGACACCCGGAGCCTTTTGGAACTGACAGACCAGCGCCTGTGGCAGGCCTGGGTGCAGCAGCAGCGCAGGGGTCTGCAAGGGCACTGTAGATGGTTCTGGAAGGCCGGGGGTTCGGGGGGCCAGGCCTATATCCACCTCCAGAAAGCACTTAAAAGCAAAGAGGCCCTGGCGGGGGGGCTCAGTTGGTTGGAGTGTGGTCCAGCACATCAAAAGGTTGTGGGTTGGATCCTCAGTCGGGCATGTACGGGAGGCAGCCGATCGGTGTTTCTTACAGGCTGGGTGTCCTCAGAGTTCTGATGGTTGTCCCCTTCTCTCCTAGTGTCCAAGGTGTATGCAGTGTGATGCCAAGTTTGACTTTCTCACCAGAAAGGTGAGCTGAGGCCGTGGGGGGGGGGAGGGCAGGGCCCAGACGGACACCTGCCCTTCCTGGGGCTGCCTAAGAGCACAGGAGCCGGTGACTGAGCCCAGATCCCAGAGCGCTGCTCGCACACCCATGTGACCTGCTGGGCACCACTGGCCACAGCCGGTTCATGCCCTGCGGGGTGTCCTGCTCTGAGCGTGTAATGGGGTGCAGAGCAGAGATGTGGTGTCCGGGCCACTGGCAGGAGGACCTTAGGTCCGTGTGGGGAGGAGCGCATTGTCCCCGCTCACTGTCCCCCTTCTCCCCAGCACCACTGCCGCCGCTGCGGGAAGTGCTTCTGCGACAAGTGCTGCGGCCAGAAGGTGGCGCTGCCGCGCATGTGCTTCGTGGATCCCGTGCGGCAGTGCTCGGCCTGCGCGCTGGTGTCTCGCAAGGAGGCGGAGTTCTTCGACAAGCAGCTCCGGGTGCTGCTGAGCGGTGAGCGGCGGGGCGCGGGGCGCGGGGCGCGGGCTGTGGCCGCCTGTCCGGAGGTCGTCTCACCCTCCATCTCCAGGATTCCTGCGGAAGCAGGTGTGGAGACAGCTCTCTCTTCAGAGGCAGACGTCGCCTACCACGTTGGTCTCACTTTGCTGGGCTTGGGCCCCTAGTTGGGATGCTTTTTGGGTGGGGGCCCTGGGCCTGGCGCAGCGCAGTTCTCACATGGGTGCCGAACTGGCCCCGGGACAGTGGGGCCAGCTGCATGCAAGACTGTCCACCCAGCCATTTCGGGGCGTGGGTGATGCCAGAGGACCAGCCCTCTGCCGACTAAAGGTCCGCCTCCCAGCACCCCTCCTCCCCGCTGTGCCTGCTCTGGCTCCTCTCCTGCAGGCCTGTGGGTCCTGGGGCCTTGATCGAGGGCATTCTCGGCACCCAGGCTGTCCTGGGCTCCTGCAGTGTGCGGGTGGTCAGTGCTCTGGTCTGGGCCTTCTGGAAAGCACGCGGTGAGGGCACTTCGCCAGCAGAGCCTCGGAGGCATCTTCCTGCCCCAGCGAGGGCCCCTGGAGCACAGCTGTGGCTTCTCACTCGTTTTCCTCGCGCCTGGTGGGGAAGGGTGACTGGAAGGAGCTGGCTGTATTCTCATGCTTGTTTTTGTGCCCCAAGGAGCCACCTTCCTTGTAACTTTCGGAAACTCAGAGAAATCGGAAACAATGGTTTGTCGTCTTTCCAACAACCAGAGGTAAGAGGCAGAACCTGCTTGGCACTGACAGCTCTGTCACACGGAGCCCTCAGGTGACGCGTGGGGACACCCTGTTTGACAGATACCTGCTTCTGGATGGGGACAGCCACCACGAGATTGAAGTCGCACACATTTCGACCGTGCAGATTCTCACGGAAGGCTTCCCCGCTGGAGGTAAACGCACTTGCCCTGTTCTGAATGGGGAGCAGGTGCCAGCTGGGGTGACTTTCGGGGGAATGCAGCGGCACTGAGGACGGGTGCTCAGCCTGTTGGTGGGGTCTTGGAGATGCCTGCCCACCCTCTTCTGTGGGCTGGTGTTTGCTCCGTGGCTTTAGGAACTCACCAAGTGAGTGGGGGGTCATAGCAGAGAACATAAGGAGGGCTCGCCTGATCGTGTTGTACCGATGCTCTCCCATAGTGCTTTGTGCACTGCAGCTCCAGCTGAGAGGAGAGGGCCATGTGCCCCTGCATCACCCGGATCCCCAAAGGGGCTGGAATGGGGCGGATTGGGCCCTCCCAGTGCGGTCAGGTGTCTGTACACAGGAAGTTTTTACCTTTCCTTGGCTCCCAGGGCATTTAGCCCAGTTTGGGTCTTTCCTATTAAACTTCTGTGCCTCAGGCTATCTTTCTGCTGGAAAACCAAGTGACTTAATCCTTCCTGTTTTCTGACTAATCCTTCTTGCTTTCTGTTTTCTGACGGGCTCTCAATTGTTCTTCTCTCCTGTCTGCCTACCTTCCTGGTTAGAAAAAGACATTCACACTTACACCAGCCTCCTGGGAAGCCAGCCCACCTGTGAAGGTCAGCCTCACTCTGCCCAGCATGCTGTGGCCCTGCGCCCCATCCTCTGCTCCTGTCTGGGGTCGGGGGTCACGCCAGGGGCCTCTGTGAAATGCTCACTCGCTTCTGTCAGTTTGAAAGAGGGTTGGGTCCAAGAGATGGACATCCAAAGGATGCATGAAAATACTCCGCAGAAGTGGATTTGCTAACCACAGGGGAAGTGCCACCCACTATTTCACAACTTCTTGTTGGGACTGCTGTCCCTGAGCAGGTCGAGTCGGGTGTCCGGGAGCAGGGCATGGGCGGCCCTTCCAGCACCTTCCTGCCCTGTCACACTGGCTCAGTGTGCCTCCCAGGAGCCTCTGCAGCCTTCGGGGCTCTGATTCTGCCCTGGGCACGGCAGAGCCAGGCCAGTGTTTCACCACCTTGGTCTCCTTGGTCCCCCAGTCTGGCAGTTAAATACGCCCTGGGGCAAAGGGCGGGGTCTGGAGAGCCTGAGCCAGGGAGGAGGTCTAGGTCTCTACCCCAGCTGGCCTCCTGAAGCCTCTGGTCTTTGTCCTGGCAGGGCCCCAGGGCACCGCATGCCCCCTTGTGGCAGTTTAGGGAGCACAGTGGGCCCTGCTCTGCCAAGTTTTCCTAGGACTTAAACCCTAACACTGCATCCCCTGGGATGAGTACTGGAACCAGCTCCCTGAGCTGAAGGCCAGCCAGAGGAGTGGCCGCTGGCCTGTCGGGGGCCAGGAAGTAACTGTACTCAGCTTTGCTGGCCACAGGAATTGTTGCAAAGTGTAAAGGCAGCCAGGAGATAGGAATACACACCATGGCCATGTGCCAGTAAAACTCTACTTACAGCAGCAGGTGGTGGGTGAGCTCGGGGGGACGCCTGCAAGGAGCCCAGTCAGACATGAGCCAGACTGACAAGAGCCCAGGAATGAGGCCTCCCAGGCCTGGGGGACAGCACTTCACAGTGGCGATGGCACTCGGTTGGGTAGGCCTCTCTCTGTGGTGCAGAGATGGGCGGATGGAAGGAGCCTTCCCAGGTGGATGACTGCTCCATGGAGCATTCCTCCTGCAGTCACCACGTAACGCTGTCGCGATGTTCGCTGTGGGGCCTGCTCTCCACATGGCTTTCCTGACTGAGGAGCCCTCTGTCCTGAGCGGCTGATTGTCAGAGGAAGTGTTGGAAGTGAGTCACCAGTGGGGCAGCTGATCCTGGCCCAGAGATGGGCAGTGTCCCGGCATGCCCATCTCCCACATGGCACTTGTCTGGGAGCTCGAGTGTCCGGGTTGAGTGCTGGCCCCTTGGGTTGGTGACCAGGGTGGTGGTGCTTCTCTGGTACTGAACCCTGTTTGCATGCTCAGTGCCCTCAGCTGTGACCACCTGGCCAGCCACTGCCTTGTCGGGCTTCCCACGGGCAGGAACCCCCACGACCAGGAGGTTCAGCATTTCTCTCTTGGCTCTCAGTGGTGTGATAGGATTGGTTTCGGGCCTTGGAGGCCTCCAGGACAGGTAACTCCCTTTTCCATCCTGTGAACTTGGGGTCTTCTACCAGAAGGCCCAAGGAGCTCATGTTCACTGAGTGCCTCCCGAGCATAGGTCCTGCCACCAGGCCATCTCCTAGACCAGCATGAGGGGTGGGAGGCACTCTGGACACACCAGGGCTGGTGGCATCTGAGCCTGCTTACCTGTCTCCCTCATCCTCCAGGAGGCAATGCACGGGCGACAGGCATGTCCCTGCAGTACTCAATTCCAGGGTCAGAGGGCATGACCCAGCTGAAGCTGACTGCAGGAGAAGATGCAAATGGCAGCAGGCGGCCGTCCACCGTGTGGCTGGTGGCCATGCACAAGGTACTGGGGCCCAGGGTGGTTGGCACAGGGGCTCTCCTTCCCCAGGGCAAGACCTGCCTCCTGCGCAGCTGGAGGGTGCCTACCCCAGCTCCAACCAGGTGCAGAACCAGCACATTTGTTTCTCGTTACCCTGCAGGCTGCCAAGCTCCTCTGCGAATCTCGGGACCAGTAACTGCACGTGGGCCGGCCTATGTGCTCAGAACAGAGAGCCCGCCGTCTGCGCTCACGCTGACCCCAGTGTGCTAGGAGGGCAGCTGGAGACCTGGGGGGAACAGCGCTCACTTCCCTAGTGCAATACGACACTGCCAGCAGCTTCCCGCTTTAGAGCCTGTTTTCTTGATGATACTTAAGCGGGGTGGGAGAGACCCAGCTACACTACTGCTGAACTGTTTTTAACAATCTATACCATGTTTTTATGAGTCCAGGTTTACTAGAAGGTTCTGGTCCCTCGATACTCATTTTATTAATTCTCTCACAGGGAGGATCGGGGCTGTGGGAACTCGGGCCAGCTTTGCCCTGGAACCTGCCGAGCCCGGTCCAAAGATTCATTTACCACACACTAATAATGAGGGGCTACGCACAAACCTTTCATACTTCACTATGGGGAAGGAGCCAGCTTTGTGTTTCGTACTTTTCACTTACTATTTCACTTTATTAAAGTAATTGTACAACAATTTGTATATAAAGCTTGATTAAACCTATTTTGAAAATATGGTCGGGCCTTGCCTCACTGTGTCCAGATCAATGAGCATTCCTGGGACAGCTCTGTGCTGGCTTCGGAACACATGACGCGCAGCCACAGTGAGAGACAGCGGTTTATTGTGCACATTTACACGGCATCAGTGGTGGCAAGGACGCAGCGTCACTTCCAGCAGGGACTGCCCCACTGGATGTTTGCCTTTTCACCACTGTGTACAGTCAATGCTTAAAGGGACCAACTACAGCAATGGATCTATACACACATTTATACATAAATTATACACAGACTCAGACATGGAAAATAAAGCCTAAGGGCCTGGATTTTAATGAGAGAACATTTCCAGCATCATCCTGGCAGTTTCGAATGTTCTAGTCAAAAAATACTTTTGGTATAAAAGCCTGTGCGTACAGCTGACTTCGGTGAAAGGCCTTCTTTTAGGTCTGGAGCTGGGGCAGAGGTTATTGCATCATGGCTGGCCCAACTGGGGCGGTGGGGCCCCGCCCTCGTGCCCCGTGGCTGTCCCTCCTGAGGTCCATGCCACCTGAAGGACCGACCTCAGGCTCCCTGGCCCGTGGGCTGTGGGGTCTGCCAGCTCCACACAACGTCCATGCTGTGCGGGGATCAGACCCCCACCTGGGTTGTAAGAGGCCGCAGAGAAGGCAGCTGTGAGCAGAGGAGGGGAGTGCTGTGCTGAGGTCCTGACCACGGGCCACCTGGTCTTAAGGGCCCCTGTGCCCGGAGACTTGGAGTCCAGCCCAGCATCACAGGCCAGAACAGGAAGTGGAGCCCCATGTCAGGACCCCCACTGGGCGCGAGTTTTCCTGCAGGGCTCCTTTGGTAGTGAGAGGAAGCAATCTGGGTGCTGAGGGGAGGTGGCGGGTTTCTGAGATATCCAGTAACATGGCAGGACTCTAGTGGGGGACTGCACCTCACAGCAGCTGCAAGTGTTCACCATGGGGTGAGGGTGACATGAAGAGTGAGGGGTGTGGCCTTGGGGCAAGTCAGTGAGATCAGTCTTCATTGGCAACCAACCGAGGGCTAATTCTAGGGCTTCTATTGGCAACAGGGGTGGTTCAGAAAGCTGGGTATTTATTTGGATTTACAGTAATTGGCAAAATTCGGTCCTCTTGGAGGCGACAGTGGAGAATGGCCTCACCTATAACCTGCAGGCTTCACATTGTGGGCGCTGTCTGCTGCAGTGAGCACCATGAAAGACACTTAAGCTTCTGCATCTGTGGGAGCAGCAGGGCGACCTCAGTGGCTCCTTGGCGAGGGCCAGCCCATGCAGTGCTCCAGCAGGCGGCTCAGGCAAGTGTTCGCTGTCGGGGCTTGATCCGCGGATACAGCTGGGGAGCAGTGGAAACAAGTCAGCACAAGGAGAGGACACACGGACAGTCCAGGTGCCAGCTCGCTGCCAGCCTCCCATGAGACCCTCCCTGACGTCCTGAATACCTGCACCCCTCACCCAGCCAGTGACTCTGTTTCTCAGCACTAGGAGCTGCCTACAGCACTTGCCACTCTCTGTACCCCTAGGGCAGGCACCTGGCTGGGCACCATGTTCGTGAAGGTTTGTGGAGTGAAAGCACCCCCCCACCCCCATAAGGAAATTTCTGGCTGCAGAAAGTTCTGATTGGGGTGAGTCTCGGTGTTGGCTGATGTTCCCCACAAGGAAAACACACTGAGCAGCCTGGACCGGGCACACGAGCCTGCCCACAGGGCCGACCCTGCAAACATGCCGGTGGGCAGGGGGTGCTGAAGCATGGGCAAGGGCAGTGCCCTCCTGGGGTCCCCAGCAGGATGTGCCCACGCTGCCTGGTGCACTGTGCTGGCTGTTCGGGTAGTTCCTCAGAGTCAGACCCAGGACAGCAAGCTCAGAACTCACCCCCAGCAGGTTTTTGGGCACGTAGCCCTCCCGGTCCCCGAGGCGAGCCCACCACCACTCGGTCTCGTTTTCATCCTTGCGCCTCAGGATGGTGATGGCGTCTCCTTCGTGGAAGGACAGCTCGTCGCTGTTCTGGGCCTCGTAGCCCCACAGAGCATACACCACCCCCTTGTTCATCACACCCAGCTTCTCCTGAACCCCTGGAATAGGACAGCGAATGGTCAAGTCTCTGCAGAGGTCAGGCTGCCGAGAGCCCTGCTGTGGGAGCCGACCAGACATGCTGCTGCTCTCGGGCGGCCTAGGGATGCGGAGGCTGAGAGAGGTCAGAAGCCAGGCCCAGCAGCTGCCACAGGAGCACTGCCACCGAGGCATGTGTCCAGAGGCAAAGGCAATCTGCTAAAAGGCCTCTTAGGTGAAACCCACAACTCACACCTAGAACTTCCAGAAGTTGGTGACTGAAGAGGTGGGGTGACTGCCTTGGAGGACAGTGAGCTCTCACATGGTGGTGAAAGAGTGAGCTGAAGCCCAGGAGCCGCCTGTGGGGGCACCAACAGAGGCCAGACATGCTGGTGACCTGGTGCCTCCCTATCCCAACGCAGTGGTCATTGTCCCACCACATGGGCCTCTAGGGCTGGCAGCTGCCTCTGTGCAGGGAGGTGCCTATACCAGGTGATCCCTTTTCCCCCAGGGTCTAATGCAGGGCTGGTCCCACAGGTTCTTGTCAGGTGTGGAATGGGTGACCTGCAACTGGTTAACCTCAGACAGAGATGTCCCAGCTCTAGAAAGACTGACCCGGACTGAAGCAGCTTACTTAAGACAGGGCGAGCTCCACTCATCAGTGGTAAGCACCCTGGCCTGTCCCTGGCCCTGCTTCAAGTCCTGGGTGGCGCTGCCTGGTCACCCTGCCCCAGCTCTGCCTAGAGGGACGGCATCCCCACAGACAGAAGGGAACCTGTGTTTTTAGCCATCTGACACAGAATCCTCTGCCAACACGGATTTTTAGACACATCTCAGGAATGAGCTGAAGGGAAAGTGTGCCCTCCCTCTCCTAGACTGACCGGGCTGCCCTGAAGTTAAGCTCGGGTGTCGCCAGCCCAGCAGATCAGTGCATGCCCCGATGGCAGCCCAGGAGAGGACCCCAGCCCCACGTACCGTACAGAAACTGGGAACACTGGATGTAGCCCTCCTCCATCTCTTCACACTTGTCTGCAGCAGTTTCAATATCGCTGATGGTTGAGGCAAAAATGGCAGCGCCGCTCTCCACCAGCTGCTTGCAGAGGTGGACGCTGTTGCAAGAGGCGGCGCAGTGCAGTGGCGTCCTGCAAGGGGCAGGGGGAGGTGCTCGTGGCTCCTGGAGGCAGCGGGGCCCAGGAACACTGAGCCTCAGTGCCCACAGATTTTGTGTTGTCTTTTTAGTGGTGTGATTTCTACTAATGAACTGTTCTGAACCTCGAATAAACTCCTGAAGGGGGGCAGGGCATGGCCTGAGGAACAGCCTCTAAAACAGATGCAGACAGCTGCCTGAAGTTGACAGTAACACCTCCGGGAGGCCGGGGCCTACATAGCAGCACAGGACCCTGCAGTGACACCCAGCCATTGAAAACAGACAAGAGTGAGTCGTGGCTGCAGAACGTTTGGTGGGCCTACCACCTTAACAATCAGGTACATGGCCCTGGACGGTTTGGGTCAGCGGTTAGAGCATCTTCCTGAGGACTGAAGGGTCACAGGTTTGATTCCAGTCAAGGGTGTGTACCTGGGTTGCAGGTTCAATCCCCGGCCCGTGTCAGGAACATGTGGGAGGCAACCAATCAATGTGTCTCATATCGATGTTTCTGTCTCTTTCACTCTCCCTCCCTCAATTCTACTCTCTGTAAAAATCAAGGAAAAAATATCCTCAGGTAAGGATTAACAACAAAAATAAAATCATCCTCTTCCTCCTCCTCATCAGGTGTTATGAGAGAGAACCATAGCCTTGGTCTGTGTGGCTCAGTTGGTTGAGCCTTGTCCCATCCACCGAGAGGTCACTGGTTCAATTCCCGGTCAGGGCACACGCTCAGGTTGCAGGCTCAGTCCCCAGTGAGGGGCATGCAGGAGGTGGCCAATCAATGTTGCTCTCTCATAGATGTTTCTCTTCCTCTCCCTCTCTCTCTAAAAAAAAACAGTAAAAACATTAAAAAAAAAAAAAAAAAGCACAAATCACAGTTGTGCCTTTAGCAGCATCCTCCAGAGAGCACCAGGTGTGCAGAGAAGCACAGGACGGAGGTGGGCACCCGGTCCCCTCTACTCCCACTCCCTTTGTGTCCTAGACCCCTCACGTCCCTCCTGCACCGAGGTGGGGCTCACCAGCCATCACTGTCAGCGGCGTTCACGTTGACACCAAAGTCCAGCAGGAACCTCACAATATGGTGGTGGCCCGCACAGACAGCATTGTGCAAGGGGGTGATCCCTTCGTCATTGGGCTTGCTGGGGTCTTCCACCTGGGACATAGGGTATGTGAGTCTCGCCCCAGATGTGGGGTGGGGGCACAGTGGTCAGAGCTCGGCTCGGCTCAGCTCAGCTCACCTCGTAGATGATCCTCTGCACCAGGTCAAACTCTCCTTCCAGGGAAGCGTCCAGGAGCAGCGCCAGGGGGTTGAAGCGGACACGCAACCCACGGCCTGTGCGCTCTGAGTTAGGCTTCTTCAGGTTGGTTCGTTTGCTCTGCAAAGAGGAAGCAGGCTTTTGATTTAAAGGTGACCCATCACAACCCCAGCCTTGGGGGCAAGGAGGGATGGGACTGACGCCCCCAGTGCCTCTGGAGCAGCCAGGGAGAGGGAGCCAGGTGGGTAACACATCCAGGCTTCTTAACTGCTTCTACCTCTGGAGTGGGCAGCTCCTTCCTACCAGCTGCGAGGGACCCAACCCTGCTCTGTTCCATCAGCACTGACCTCCCACCAGAGGCCTCTGTCTGGAAGGTAACCCTTCCCCTTGCTGCATCCCTCCGGGCTCCAGTGGCAGCTTCCCCGCCTCAGGAAAAACTTCTCAGGCCTCCTGCTGAGCCCTCCAGTAGGAGCCCTGCAGCCCTGCACTGTCCTGCAGAGCCCACCTGTGTGCTGAGCCACTGTCCCCTGGGCCTGACTCTCTAAGGGCAGGGACCAGTGTGCCAAGCCCCACCATCCCAGCACATGGCTAACAGAGGTGGTCCTCCACTGGCACTGGTGGCCCTGCCTAGGGCCACACCCACCGCAGAGGATGCCAGCGGCAGCAGGACCGGGGACAGTGATGGGGAAATGTGCTCTTCCCCTGGAGACGGGGCCTCGGCCCCAGGGCTGGGGACCTGCTCCGTGGACGGGGCTGTGGCCACGTTGTTGTTGTTGTCCTCCGCAGGCTCAGCTGTTTGATGAGTGGTCTGGGGACAGATGAGCCCCTCTGGCTCAGGGGAAGGGAGCTCATTGTCATTGGCGTCCGAGGCGGGGACAGGCTCAGCGGGGAGGGGGACTGTGGGCTGGGCAGGACTGGCCTCCCCCAGGTTCCCGTTGGCGTTGGTGTTCCCATTGTCCACGTCGGCCAGGGTGCCCGTGAGATCCTGCGAGGGGCTGGGCTGATAGAAAGGGGTGCCCTCCATGCCACCAGCCAGGGTGTTGAAACGCTGGTAGAGCAGCTTCTGGATGTTGGGCCCACCGGGGCCCTCGGGCTCAGTGATGGAGCTGCGCTTCTTCAAGGGACGGGGTGCATTGGCCAGCTTCCTGCGCAGGGCCTCCAGGTCGGCGTCGCTCTGGTAGCGCAGTGGGGAATGCACTATGGGTGTGAGTTTGGTGGGGCTGAGCGGCCGAGGCAGGCTCTCCATAGTGCCAGTGGTGCCGTCCCCGGGCGGGGCCGGACTGTCCTGCTCTGGCTCTTTCTCGGCACTTTCCACAGACGGCTGGGGCTGTGAGGTGCTTATGGCCAGCGATCCATGAAGAAACGGCAACGGTGACGGGGATGTCGAACCTGATGGTAAAACAGGCTTCCCGTACACTGTAGGAGACAGAGGACAGGGGAACTTAAGCATCCTGTAGGACCTGGGGCCTCATCACTAAGCATCTCTGGTTACACGACAGACAGGCCTGGCTGGTGAACCCTAATTTTTTTTTAACTTATTTTTTAATCCTCACTCAAGGACATGTTTTTAAATGATGTTAGAGAGTGAGGAAAGGAGAGGGGGAGAGAAAAAAAGCATCGATGTGAGAGAGAAACATTGATCAGCTGCCTCCTGCACACACCCCAACCAGGTATTGAACCTGCAACCTAGGTATGTACCCTGACCAGGAATCAAACCTGTACACAGGACGGACACTCCAACCAACTGAGCCAAACTGGCCAGGGCAGTGAACCTTAATTTAAATCCCAAGCGAGTCCTTTGCTCAAAGAACCTCACCAATCCCTTTTGGAAGGTGGATGATCTAACTGTTCAGTTTTTACTCTGGGGTTCCAGAATTGGGGCTCTTATAATGAAAATCTAAAATGGATATGGACCTGACCTCCTTATTCCAAACAAGCCATCCTTGTTCTCTGGCCAAGGAGAAAGACGTCACCTCTGCACACCTAGGACTAAGTAGAACAGTATGAAGTACAGGCCACACCAGACAGGAAGGTCTGCCTGGTGGCCCAAGAGCTCTTGAGAAGGGTCTGTCTCTCCCAGTCCAAGGTAAGTGCAATGCCCCTGCCTCAGAGGTCCCTGGGCAGGGAGTAGCCAGGCACCCCCAGAATCCCTCAATTCTGAGTCTGGAGCCCATGCCCAAGAATGTCTGAGGAAGCCCCGCCCAACCTTACCATCCAGGTCAGAACTGTCATCCACCTCAGCAGGCGTGGAACTAGGCCCTGCTCTCTGCCCTGCTTCCTTTAATGTCTTGGCCCCTAGGACTAATTTCCCTTCACCCAGATCAGGGCTCTTCTCCACTGTGGGCTCTGGCGGAGGCATCCAGCAGCAGACACCCCCCTTGCACTGCTGCCCCAGGGGTCCAGCTCAGCTACAGTGGAAGGTGGGGATAAGGTCCAGGCAGAGCCTCCTTTGCCAGCTCCCACACAAGTTACCATGAGGCAGAAGAGAAAGAGGAAAGCCCCAATCTTGCCCTTTATGGGCTGGAATTCCTGAGTGAGGCAGGCAAGTGGCAGCTCAGACAGGAAGTCAGCTGTGATCACCACCTGCACTTCATAAGGCCATGAGAGCTGTAAGCACCTAGACAGCATGTGGCCCAAATGTAAGGATATGGGTTGGCATTTTCTTAAATAAAAGTATAACTTCCTGGCCCCAAGAGAAGGTGAGTATAAACCCAATGTACCTGCTTTAACAGACTTATTTAAGGCGCTATGCGCCGCTGGCTGGTAATTCTTAGGTGGTGTGGCTTGCTGGAGGTACATGGAGTATATAGAACTTGAATTCACTGTCTGGGGTCCTTTCCTGGGGGACTGTGGCCTTGACCCTTTATCAGCCAGGAAGGGCCTGATGGCCACAGTCAGTGGGAGTTCGGGTTTGCCATCTCCAGCTGGAAATGCAGGCGGCCCCGTGGGCGGGTATGTGGGACTCGGTGGCACAGAAATCCTCTGCTGGATCTGTTGGGAGGAGCCTGGTTGGTGGGCACTGCCCACGGAGGGCAGTGGGCCGGGTTTCTGCCGACTGGAAAGGCCTGTGCTGGGCCTGGGCAAGCTGCCCTCCTTCCTCCTCTCCAGGGAGTTTGTGGACCCTGGACCCACGGGCGCCGGACTTGGATATGTTCCGTAGCTCGGAGGTAGCTGCTTGCTGACACCAGGGACAGGGGACGGCATTTTACCCATCTCGATGCCCTAAATTTAGATGTTAAGAAAAACAAAATCATCCTTTGAAAAGTTAAGCAGATTTCCATCCACAGTTACATGAGAGTACAAAATAGGACTTGTAATCCTCCCATTCGGCCTGTGGCCAGGCACAAGGCACACTGGGGATCAAACACAGCAGGGCTATCACTTGTCTGCAACAGAACAAGCCTGACTAAAGGCCTTTGTGCTGGTACACTGCTCAGTGCTTAGGGTCCACAGACTCCTTCAGACTGGGTATACTTTGGACACGAATGAGAGTAATTGCCTCCTGGCACCTCCTACCCTTAGATGAAGACTAGGGCTGAACAGTGACGTGGTTAGGAGGGTGTCTGTGTTTCAGGGATCATGCCAAGCGGCCTACCAGTTTCTCCGTGGCTCCCAGAGCTGACAAGGGCACAGGCTGGCTGGAGACAGTCCCTTGCCTGAGAGGCCCCTCCATGCTCGAGTCCTTCCAGTCCACACTGGCCATCTGCACCGGTTTCACTGAAGAGCTCACATTCTGTTTTAACGTTGGCCAGTTTCCATCATTAGCTTGAAAAGAACGTAGACTTTAAGTAAAATTTTTCAGAAAAGAAAAATCACTTTTGGGGACAACACATTTTGATGGAGTGGCCCACCAGGTGCTGGCCACCCCTCCCCACATCAGCTTAAGCACAGCAGGGCCAAGGGTGGCCTCTGCTGGCCCTGCCTCGCCAGCACCCACATGACTCTGTGAAGACTCCAGCGATGACCCAGCCAGCGAGGGGCGGAGGACGGTACAGACACTCTCAACCCTCATTTCAATACAGGTCAAACCCATTGCATCAATAATAATGAACAAAATAAGCACTGGCACTTGCTGTTCCAACACTAGTCACAACTACACACAACAATAAAGACTTTAGACTTCATAACAGGTTTGAGCTGTACTGCTTCTAGTATTAAAAGGAAAATCCAACCTTGAATGTTAGAAACTTCTACTCTCTAAAATGGCCCATGATCCCAGGAGGCCGCCAGGGCCCTCTGATTGGCGTGGCAGGCTACATTCTGCAGCAGTGATCAGAAACCAGTCAAGCCTATGGTTTCAGAAAAACTCCTGAGAAGCTACGTTTTCAGAGTATTTCCAAACTGGAAAAGGGGGGCAAAGCACTGCTGGTGCCCGGCTCACTCACACCGTGGGCCAGGTGCTAGTCCTGACTCAGGCTCGCTTCTCTCTGCTGCAGGCACAGGGGCTGGTCTGAAGTGATCAACATCCCAGCCATCAGCACATGAGTTGAAGAGAAATGCAGGAGACTGTCTGGGCCCTGCCAGGAGCAGTGCACCCTTGTCCCTTGTCCCTTGGGCCAGCATGGCAGGTGGGGTGGCAGGCGGGGCACCTGAGGAGCAGCAGATAATTCACTCTTCCCGCCACAGCAGCATGGAAGCCAAAGCCCAAGACTCATGGACAAGAGACTGGCTCTCACACAGGCTCTGGGCACGACCAGAGAGGCCAGGCATGTGCAGGACGATGAGCAGAGCCTCTGACACCAGGCTGGACCCTACTGGCGGCAGCCACCTACATGTCAGTCCCTGCAGCAGCACTGCGACCACTGCTCTCACCGCCACACTGCTGTTACTGCGCTGCTGAGAACCACCCCAGGCTCCGGGCAGCAGGGCTCCAGACGGTTGTAGCCAAGCTGCAAGGGTCCTGCTGAGGTTGTCCAGGGCCCCAAACGTCACTGTGCTGTGTGTGGCCTGCCAGCCTATTCTAGGTCAGAAGTGCTTTTCTCTCTCGTCTCCTTACATCTGAGACTGGGAGGTATGGGCCAGACACACAGGAAGGCACCGAGGTGAAAACTCATGCCAATGGGGAGAAAGCCCACTGCAGACTCTCCGGCTGCGGGGGTCGGGAGGAGAGACTGCCCATACCCTCCCAGGGTCATAGGGAATGTGGTCATCCAGCAGCTTCTGAAATCCCATGGCAACCAGAGATTTTATGGAAATCAGCCACAGAAGAACTAGGAATTTTCTTTCTTCAGGATGAGGCAGAAGGTATAGAAAGAAGATCATTTATTTTTATTATTAAAGGGACAATTCTCTTCAAGTATGAAGAGAGATTCCTGTACTGAAGATAAAACTAAAAGCCTCACAATGAATTCAGGAAATCATCTTAATTTGTTAAAAAGGAAACAAAAATACTCTTGCTGTGCCAGCCCCCTCAAACCCTCACTGAGGACTACGTGGTGTGTGTGGACCAGCCCACACCCCGCAACTGTCTGCTGAAGGAAGGACAAACTATGTTTATGTGGCATCTCTCAGGTCTAGATATGATCAGCAGACCTTTCTCAGTTTGGAGAAAAGAACGAGTGTGGACTGAGCAGTATTAAAAAGGACCCGAGCTCCCCACCAGGCCTGCCAGCCGACATACGGTTCGTCAGTGGGTCTGCAGAGTGCCGTGCGGAGCCACAGTCAGGCCCAACGTCGAGGTCTGACACTGTCCATGAGCAGGTCACTCTGGGTTTACCATGGCCATCTGTGTGACACGGAACCAGAACAGCCACCACATGGGTTAGAGTCCCCAACAAGATTTCTTTCCCCAGATCCACATCTGGGCTGAGATTCTGCCCCAGTGTGGGGGTGACCAAGTGTATTGCACTGTCACCTTGCAGCACAGTAGAAAGAACAAGGCTAGTGCTGAATTTCCAAAGGACACATTCTTAAGCCCTGCAAGAGTGTCTTCTCCTAGCAACCCTTGAGAGGGGCCCAGCACACACCCGCAGAGAAGAGGGACGTGGGACACATGCCCAGCTCAAGAAGAGTTTACCATGAAGGCAGCAGAGCAGTGCCTGGCTGTGCTAATTATCTGCCATTGGAAACAGACGAATCTGCTCCCACCACAGAGTGGTTCAAACTATAAATAACAGCTTATCAAAGAAGGCTGCAATTAGAGGTTTACACCGACCACAGACACAGCCTGTACTCTTCTGAGACTTGGCCAACATCTGAGGGCTGGTGACACTTCCTCCCACCGGGGTCAGAAGGAGCCCCAAGGCCTGCAGCAGGAGCAGCAGAGGTGTGGCTGCTCAGAGCAGGTGCTGGGCAAGAAAACATGAAGCCAATAAACAAAAGACTGCACAAATCTACCAACAGTCCTGAAAAACACCCCCTACACGACGGCCTGACACAGGCCAGTCCGCAGGACTGTGATCATCAGTGAAAGGACGCTGCAGCGTTTGGACCTGCATTCCAGGACTGTCCACCTCAGTCATAACGCAAACCCTTCTGCAAAGGCGCCCTGGCTCTCTTAGCGCATTGGTTTAAAACCAGCCGCCTTCCTCTGAGGAAGGAAGGCAGAGTCTCCACAGAGAACCCGCCGCCCTTCGCTGGGAAAGAGGGGTGCAGGCAGTCCATCAGGAGAGCTGGGCACCAGCATAGTGCTGGGGCCAAGGCCGGTCACACCACACGCTTTGGTGGACCATGGGCCAAAGTGATGGTCTGTGGACTTTCTGATCGATTAAGGCCACAATGAGTGGGGAAGGAGAAACCACAGTACTCTGTTTATGGGATGGTCACTGTGGTAGTACACAGCTCCCAAAGGTGCCCCAGAAGACATGGTGCCTCAGGGGAGACAGGGTGCACACAGGGGCCCCCTCTGAGGATGCTGCTCCCACAGCTCTCCTTCCGCTCACTCTCCCCCAGGAAGAGGGTCCTGCCACTTACCGGGTTTGGACCTTCCATGGGCAGCCCCTGAAGCAACAGTGAGAGACTGGGGCTTTATGGGGTCCCCTGGGGCTGAGTAGCTGCCAGCGCTGGGCACCTGGATGTAAGGCCCCACTGCAGCAACCCTGCCAGGTGTGCTCAGAGGTGACTGTGGCGATGACGCGCCATTCACACGGTTCAGCTACAAAACGGGAAGAAATGAGAGTTAACTTTCTCTTAAATTTGAACCACTCACCCACTAATTTGTACTGAGGCAGCCCCATCAACCTGGAAGACAGCTGTCTAGGATGGGCGAGACTTTGAGAAGGGTCTTGACCCACAGTCCTATGAGTGATCCTCTCTGGTAACACCTATGATTCAGGAACTACATACACGCCACGTTTGCTGCCCAGGACACCTTCCCCCGTGTAACCCTCTTGCCTGGGGGATGCTCCCCTTCCCCAGAGACCGCAAAGCCTAGGCTCTGAGCCTAGCTGGCTTCAAACCTTTCTCTGCCACATACTTGCTGTGCTGCTTTGGGCAAGTGACTTAACTTCTCTGAACCTCTGTGCCCACGTCCATAAAGTCAGGATAAGGGTTATTGTAAGGCAATTGAGTGAGTGACAGGTCCTGGAACCAGGCAAGGCTCTGACCAGTTCGCTGAAGGCAGCTCTGCTCTTCTCAGCAAGGACGCCAAGCCACAGCCAGCAGCACTAGGCACACCACAATGCCCAACAACAGGAGTCCGTAAGAGAGATATAACTAGAGAATCACTGACTCCTTAGGGCTCCCCGATCGATCCCCATAGGACCCCATGAGAGATCTACAACCCTCCTACAACTGTTTGCAAAATTCTGTATGCATGAGCACATCATTTTGGGGAGAGGGTCCATGACTTTGACAATTGTTGGAAGGTGGGACCTTTGGGTGGAGACACATCTCGGGAGAAGCACCAACTCTTCAAGGAGATCTCTTGAAGAACTGGGTAGAATGCACAAGGTAAAATTTACCTAGCTGTCAGTGATGGTTAATTGTGTGTGTCAACATGGCTAGACATTTGGACAAACACACCTAGATAGGTGTTGCCGTGAGGATACTTTTAGAGGAGATTAACATTTAAATCAATAGACTGTGAGTAAAGCAGATTGCCCTCCATAATGTGGACGGGCCGCATCCAGCCGTATGAAGGCCTTATGAGAGAAGGACTGCGGTCCTCTGAGGAAGAGGGAATTCTGCCTGCAGATGGCTTTCACACTTAAGCTGCAACATCAACAAGTCATTCCCTGGGTCTTCAGGCTGTAGCCTCCACAACTGTGTGATCCAATTCCTTAAAATCAATTCTTTAATCTATGCATATGCGTGTGTTCTGTTTCTCTGGAGGGCCTGACTGAAGAGTATGTTCTGAATACACCAGAACTAAAGATGTCATGTCGTGGAGAGTATACATGCGCCCTCTCATGGTCTCTGTGTTGCTCATTGAGATCAAGAGGAAAACCATTATCTGTGATTACAGTTATTCAGATTAACCAATGACCTTTAAGCTCTCTGGTTAAAAAAAGTATAGATCTGTAAACAAGAGACTTTTCACCTGAGACCACCGATTACAAAAGCCATAGAACTGGCAGATACCTTCTTCCTCTTGTATCCTTCTAACCCATCCCACGTAGGCACAGCCCCGGAAGCCCACACCTCCCCTCCTGAGAGCCACCTTCAGAGCAGCAAGAGCCCACAAGGACACTTGTCAAACTGTGAAAGCACCAATTACTGGTGTGAATAGGAGACTTTGAAAGCCTTGTCCAGCTAGCTCGGCTGCCTGCTCCATTCTCCACTCCCAAGGGCAGGGTGCCAAACAGCTTTGACTCAGGTACCGTCTCCCTCAAACCCCGAGTACCACTAGTGGAGGAAAGGGGAAGTGCCATATCCCCCAAAGACAGTGCACAGCAGCCCCTCATCAACCATGCATAAGCTCTCGCCATGCCTGTGTGCACGGAAGCACGGAGAGCAAGAGCAAGACTGGAGGACACCTGCCCGAAAACAGGGCTGGGCAAAGGGGCCAAAGGCTGGGAATTGGAGTATTATACAGAAATTACAAAAGGAGTGAAGTAATGACCTAGAAAGATACCCATGTTACAGTTTAAATTTTTAAAAATTTTTGAGAGAGAGAGATAGAAACATCGATGTGAGAATCATCCATCAGCTGCCTCCTGCACGCCCCCGACTGGGGGGATCAAGCCTGCAACCTGGGCATGTGCCCTGACTGGGAATCAAACCAGGACCCCTCAGTCCATGGGAGGACACTCAATCCACTGAACCACACCAGCTGGGCTCCATGTTACAGTTTTTTGTTTTTGATTTTTATCCTTACCCAAGGATATTTTTCCATTTTTGGTACAGATAGAGTGGGAGGGAGAGAGAGAAACATTGACGTGAAGGGACACATCGAGTGGCTGCCACCCGCACAACCAACCAGGGCCGGGGACAAACTGCAACCGAAGTACGTGCCCTTAGCGGGAACCGAACTCGGGTCTCTCCGGACCGCAGGCCAACGCTCTAACCGCTGAGCCAAACTGGCCAGGGCTTATGTTACAGTTTTTAAAGAAAGGCTAGGGCTCCAGCCAGTTGGGCTCAGCTGTTAGAGCATCAGCCCGCAGACCAAAGGGCCGCAGGTTTGATTCCAGCCAACGGCATGTACCTCAGTTGCAGTTTGTCCCTGGCCCTGGCTGGGGTCATGTAGGTGGCAACCAATTGATGTGTCTCTCTCACATCGATGTTTCTCTCTCTCTCTTCTTCCTCCCTCTCTCCCTCTCGCTCTATGTAAAGATAAATGTAAAAATAGTCTCAGGTGAGGATAAAAAAGAAAAAAAAAAGAAAGGCTAGGTTCAGAACAGTGTGAATGATATAATTCTAACAATTCCACTTAAATTGAAAATTAGGCCCTGGCCTGTTTGGCTAAGCAATTAGAGCGTCGGCCCTTGGACCAAGGATTACAGGTTCAATTTCCAGTCAAGGGCATGTACCTAGGCTGCAGGTTCGATCCCCCAATTCCTGGCCCATGGTGGGGGTTGTGCAGAAGGCAAACAACAGATGTGTCTCCCTCCCTCCCTTTCACTCTGAGAATCAATGGGAAAAAATCCTCAGGTGAGGATTAACAACAACAAAATTAAGTCCTAGCTGATGTGGTTCAGTTGGATGGAGCATCATCCCCTCACCCAAAGGTCATGGGTTCGATTCCCAACCAGGGCACACACCCAGATTGCGGGTTCAATTACCAGTCAGGATGTATATGTGAGGCAAGCAATTGATGTTTCTCTCTCTCTCTCTTCCTTCCTTTCTCTCTAAAATCCATTTTTAAAAATCCTCAGGTGATTATTAAAAAATAATGATAAGAAAAAATTAAATACCTTCTGTCTGCATTAAGTAAAAGACTGGAACCATTAACAACTACCCTCCCTTGAGAATGAGAACAGGGTGGAAGGGACTTACTTTCACATTTTCCTTTAAATATTTCTGTACTGTTTTAACTTTTTTCAGTGATTACTTACTTTTGAAATTCAATATACCAAATAAAGATTTTTTAAAAGTGCTAACTACTCCTAGAGAACTTTGCTCAAGAGTCTACAAAGCCCTTTCACTTGGGTCCTCTCTAAGAACCTTTATGATGATTCCTGGGACAGGTAAGACACATTAGTTTATTGCAAGGACACAAGGCCACATAAGGTCAAGGAATTTGTCCACGTGGCACCGCTTAAAATTGCAGAGTGGGATCCAGCTCTGTACTTGGACTTCTGAACCAAAGCTCCCCCAGGGAGAAGGGGCGCCCCCACAGCAGATGGAGGGCCCATGGCTTCCACAGGGGTGGTTCTGACCCCATGCACCAGGAAACAGATGCCTCTTTGGGAAAAAGAACTTTATTCTACTGCCACGTTTATGGTCTATGGCCAATTTACGTCTTATCACCCATGCACAGGGGGAAATGCCATCATGGTGAAGATGTGCAATTTTGGGTTGAACCATTTGTAAAAGTTTATCTCACAGAAACACTTTCTCTTTCACTTGCCTGAATTTTCTTCCCATACAGACGTTCACGTAGCTCGCCGATGCGCTTGTCCATCATGGCCACCTCCATGTTGCGCTTATTTAAAAGCTCCTTCTGCTGCTGGAGTTTTGAATTCTGTTCCTGGTTAAGCTGGTTACGAATCTGCAAAATAGAAAACATAACTTCTATGATTTGCATTAATTAAACGGTCAAACTATCATTGCCAGGGAGATTAAAAAAAGAAAAAGAAAAAGTGATTGAGTTCTTATGTGTATTTGCGTATGTGTGTTGTTGCTTGTGCACTAACTATCTATAGGTACAGCACAGGTGAAGCCAGAACAGATTTTTTTATGGAACCAAAAATGAGCAAACCTCTGCAAACACATGTCCTCTTTTTTTTTTTATCCTCACCCGAGGCATTTTTCCATTTTTTTATTCAGATAGAGTGGGAGGGAGGGAGGGAGAGAGAGAGAAAGAGAGAGAGAGAGAGAGAGAAACATCGATATGAAAGGGACACATTGAGTGGCTGCCACCCGCATGATCCAGCCAGGGCTGGGGACAAACTGCAACCAAGGTACGTGCCCTTAGCGGGAACTGAACCCAGGACTCTCCGGTCTATGGGCTGATGCTCTAACCGCTGAGCCTAACCGGCCAGGGTGCAATCAGCACTTTAAAAAAACGACAGAGACTAGAAAATGGCAGTGTACACAGAATGTACATTCTGCCACGTCAACTCTTCAGATGCACTTCTGTATGAGCACACACACAGCACATGTGCACTAGACAGAGAACATGCTTCTTAACCTAGATTGTAGTCAAAGAGTTGAAAATAAATAAATATACTAAATTCGCCCTGGCCACTTTGGCTCAGCAGTTAGAGCATCAGCCTGCAGACCAAGGGGTCTTGGGTTTGATACTCAGTTAAGGGCACAGTACCTGGGTTGCAGGTTGGATCCCAGGTCCTGGTTGGGATCATGCGGGAGGCAACCAATCGATGTGTCTCTGACATCTCTCTCTCTCTCTCTCTCTCTCTCTCTCTCTCTCTCTCTCTTTCTCTGCCCCTTCCAATCTATCTAGAAATCAATGGAAAAATATCCTCGGATGAGGACTAACAACAACAACAACAAATATATGTATATTACACTCATCACACCTCACCAAAAAATTCTTAATAATCCCCCACTTTTAACAACTGCTTAAAATGTTGAAAGTCAAATTCTTGTATTTTATTTCTATGCATTTATGTTAGAGAACTTGACAGCAACAAAAAGTGATTTTACTCTAATTAAATATTTTCATTTCATAAAATTATATAATACTCTTTCTACCAAGTGCTAATAAAATTGTAACCCTTGCCCTGGCTGGTTTGGCTCAGCGGTTAGAGCGCCGGCCTGTGATCCAGAGAGACCTGGGTTCGGTTCCCGCTAAGGGCACGTACCTCGGTTGCAGTTTGTCACCAGCCCTGGTCGGTCGTGCGGGTGGCAGCCACTCGATGTGTTCCTTTCACGTCGATGTTTCTCTCTCTCTCTGTTCCTCTCTCTCCCTCCCACTCTACCTGAACAAAAAATGGAAAAATGTCCTCGGGTGAGGATAAAAAAAAAAATTGTAACCCTTGCTTCTGACTTGAAAAAGCACCTGCTGCATGACAACTTCTGAGAAATGGAAACCTGAGGATTCTTATGGACTGCTGTCTGTGTCCTCCCAAATTTATATGCTGAAGCCCTCATCCTCAATGGTATTTGAAGGTGGGACCTTCAGGAGGTAATTTGGCTTAGATGAGGTCATAAGGATGGGACCTATGATGGTGTGTCCTTATAAGAAGAGGAAGAAAGACCACAGCAAGAAGGTGGCCTTCTACAAGTCAGGAAGCAGACCCCCACCGTGAACGGAATCTGCCAGCAACCTGATCTTGGACTTCAGCCTCCAGAACTGTGAGACATAAGTGTCTGTAGTTAAGCTCCCTAAGCCTATAGTATTTTGTTATAGCAGCTCGTGCTGACTGAGACAAGGATTTAACAGGCATCTAGCTATCTCATCAGAACAGTTTACACAGATACCTTAAAGATTATCTAAAGCTTAATTCATTTCTAGTTCATTATACTGCCAATTAAATTCTGTATTGAATCTCTGTATTGAAATGCTGCGTGGAAGAAGCCAGACACAAAACTACACATTGTGTGAACCTGTACATATGAAATGTCTGGAACAGGCAAATCTACAGAGACAAAAAGAAGACTCTTAATTGCTTATGGTGGGGGATGGGGTTTCTGAGGGGATGGCCAAGAGGTGTGGGGTTTCTTCTGTGGGTGGTGAAGATGTTCTGTAACTGACTGTGGTGGTAGATGCAGAACTCTGCGAGGATACTAAAATTCACCAAACTGTACTTTACATGGGTCAACTGTATGTGATGTGAATTATAGCTCAAAGCTATTTTAAAAATTCCTTTGTACTGAATACAGTTTGGGCCACTATTAAATTGCAATCCGTCGTCTTTTCTCCAGCACCGGAGGTCTCCAGCCCACACGCAGAAGGAAGCCCGGAGACTGAGACGTCTCACTGCGCCCACTCTCAGGGCCCACCATTACCTGCAGCTCTTGGTACAGCCTTTTCAACTCCACAGCTGCCGGGCCCGTCAGCTTGCCATTGTACGGCTGCAGCCCGTTCAGCTTTCCCTTCTTCAGATCTTCCAGCTGCTGGCTGAGCTGATCAACTCTCAGAATTGCAGTCTGCACTTCCTGTTTCTTTTCCTGGAACATGGCACTGAATCTCTCTATCTCAGCAGCTGTAATTTCCCATCAAGAAAATAAACATCACTTAGTTGGTATCTTTTTTTTCACAGTGTTTTGCTATTTTTGTTTGGTGATGTCTTCTTCCTGTCTATACATTTAACTCAACTCCAGCATCAACTAGGGCCAGACCTTGGAAAGAAGACTGTGACACACATAATCCAAAACACATTTCAACAGCCCTTGGAACACATGGTGTGACTGTTCACATGGCAAACAATTATATTTTCACTGATTAGTGAATATTCTTTCATCAGGACAATCAATCCAAAAGTGAACTTGGTCAAGCCACCTGGGACTGTCAATGCACCAACAGACCCAGGCTTTATAAGGGTAGGACCTTCCCGATGTGCTCTGTTATCATTGTAACACAGAGCAGGCACTATCTGGATTAATGAGATAAGAACAAAAAGTGAGCATTTGTGTGGTTTATCTTAGTATACAGATAAAATTTAAGCTATTTAATTACAACACATCCTTAGGATGAGTTGAGCCCCAGCGCAAAGGGCAGCATTACAGATGTAACAAGAGGCTGGGAAACCTTATTTAACCCACCCTGGCTGGTGTGGCTCAGCAGTTAGAGTGTTGGCCAGCCTGCGGACCAAAGGGTCATGGGTTTGATTCCCAGTCAAGGGCATGTACCTAGGTTACAGGTTCAAATGGGGTTGTGTGGGAAGCAACCAATCAACGTGTCTCTCACATCAATGTTTCTCTCTCTCTCTCCCCCTCCCTCCTTTTCACTCTATCTAGAAAATCAATGGGAAAATATCCTGGGGTGAGGATTAACAAAAAAAGTAAAATAAAACCACTTAACCCAACCTAGCGCACCCTTTCCCATGCAGCGAACAGAGCAAAGCTACAGTGCACTTTCCACACCAGATCTGACACTGGGCTGTGAGTGAAAGTGTGTGGAAGCTGGACTCTGACTCTCTTCCTCTGTGCCTGGTGAGCATGGGTGCACGTGGACCGTGGGCACATACACAGATTGCCGTTCATGATTTTGCTGTAGTCCACTTGTCCTCTCATGGCACGGATTTTCTTCAGCTTATTTTCCTGGGCTTCAACTCGTTCTTTCAATTTCTGAAGTTTTTCATTCTCAGAAATAGACTGCTGCTGATGGCGCTCCTGCTGCTTTAGAAAATGTAAACGCTGTTCCTAACAAAAGAGGGAAACAGGTAACTTTGAAAACTGCAATTTATATTTATCTTATACACTAAAAAACTGGAATGGATGCCACAGTATCGCCACTCTGAATAGAAATGTTTGAGGAATCGTGCACACTTCAGACCACACAACACAAATTACTGCGCATGAAGAAATGGGAAGTGGGAAGAATCTGGGGATTTTTATAAGTGGATTTTTCTCTGCACACTGATCTAAACCATTCAACAATGTAAACGCTCCCACAGGAAACCTTCCAGCAGGCGAAGGGCAAGCCTGACTTCACAGGCCCTACACAATCTCATCTTATCCTGTCTGTGAAGCCCGTTTCCTGCTGTCAGACCAGGTTTCCTGCTGCTGCAAAGCTGCTTCTAAGGGCCCCTTATTTAACCTAAAGGAAATGAGCACTGACCAGCAGAGCATTTTCTACTGAAAGGGATAAAGGTGATCAGTGAGGAGATAAGCTTCTCATTTGCTAAGTGACATCTAACAGTCCAGGATATGTTTGTTTGCTTTAGGGTTAGCTTCTTTAAAACGAATGAAGCATTTTATAGTCAAACAAAACCAGGACTATCCTAAAGTAAAAATACATGTACTACTCCTCAGTTTTTTTTCCCCCTACAGATATGAACACATACCTTAAGGACAACGGTCAACATTAATCTTCATAGTCCCATAGGTCTGCATAAACCCACCTGTGTAATGAGGTATTACACACAGCCCTCCAAAGGAAGGACCATGTAAAATCAGTGTGAACTTGTGATTCACGCTGGAAAAACCTAAGGATTTTCTTAACAGTAATACTCTTGAATCAATATTTAAAAAAAAAAAAAGTATAATTAGAAAAATATTATAACTATATAATGCTATATACATTTCATTTTAGAAATCTTATTAATGGAAATACTTTCCATTTCTAATTGTTTTCTGTATTCTTATAAATCTAATAAACTTTGTAAGACAACTTCAAAGAACAAGTCCAACGTGACCTATTATTTACATAAAAGTGGATAGTACAATGAATTAAACATTCATTCAATAAATGAAAAAAGGTAGATTGGATTCTGGTTATTAAGAAAATCTACAGGTTTTATTTATATGTGAAATCTAAAAAACAATAAAGAAACAAACTTGACAGACTCACAGACACAGAATAGGCTGATGGTTGCCAGATGAGGAGGTGCTGGGGGCTGGGTGAGAAAGGTGAAGGGATTGAAAAGTACAAATTGGCAGTTACAGAACAGTCACAGAGATGTACAGCATAGGGAATACAGTTAATACATTGTAATAACTATGGTGCCAGGTGGGTGCTAGATTTTTCGGGGAGATTACTTTATAGGTTATATAAATATCTATCCACTATGCTGAAACTAATATAATACTGTATGCCAACTGTAATAAAAAAATAAATAAGAAACGAAAATCTCTGTACAGAGAAAGCAGTGAGAGTCTAGGCAGCAATATTTACAGGTTCCCTCACAGCAGCTTCAGGACGTTTAAGATCATCACAATGGGCATCATTTCCAGCAGGCATGGATGATAGGTCTGATTTTTCTTTTTTAATCCACAACTAAACCATTATTTAGAAAATTTTTAAATCCTACTGTTACAGAGTCTCAACAACAAATGTAGAACTCGTGTCTATAATGAACGCTCACTATGCCCCTCACTGTAATAAACCAAACAAGGTCCTTGGAGAGTGGCATAAATTAGGGAAGCCTGATGGTAAGTGTCACTGTCTTGGGGTCATGACCAGCATCCCCGTCATGGGTCACCAGCTTCCTCTAGAATACGAATGCTAACTACTCAAGCCGAGAACACACCAGAGGAAAAAGGAGATGACAACAAAACACAGACTTTCCAAATTTTATCTCCATCGGGGTAAGATCAACTACTTCCTGTTGTGTCTGTGTGTGCAGGTCAAGGGTCAGATGCTCCTGCTCAGACACCTTCCCACTTCTGGGAGCTACAACATGTATTTACTATTATGGAGGAGATGAAAGAGCCATGGTCCTACGGACAAGTGTTACCCAGGAGTGTGCTAACCCCAATCCAAAGTAATAGTTGAACAACACACTTTTTGAACATTTTCTCACCTCTGCTTTTATAAACTTACCTTGGCAACCAACATCTGCTGCTGATTTTCGATTTGCTGCTGCTGCCTGGCTGCCATATCTTGGAGCTCTGAGAGGGTCAGTTCCACACGTGGATGCCCAACCTGCAGAGATAAGAACACACTCAGGCTGGGATGTGCGTGTCTGCGTAACCCATTCCCCTGGTGCCAGAAGCAAGCAGCGTTTTAAATAGACTCCCTAGAAGTGAGGAGAATACAAATTAGTCTGTTTTCTCTTAAGAACTTTCCTAATTGAGTGCTTTTATTAAATATAAAATAGTCTTGAGAGACTAAATGTATAAAGGATTATAAAATACAAATACTTCATTAAAAACACATATATATGGCCTACACCAAGGACTGACCCCACCCCTTTTTTTGGATTGACCCATTACTGGAAGAATTATTTATGGAGATGAATACAAGAAGGTAATACCTAGAATGGTAACTAACAAATCTAAGGGCATGTTCCCATTCTTGTTAATGTCAATAATAAAATTAGCATTTTTATAGTGCTTATCTTGTGCTTTGCACTGAACTACTATGTACTTTGCATTATGAACTTATTTAAGCCTCACAATAACACCATCAGGTAGGTACTTTTCTACCCACATTCCATAGATGAGAAAACAAGCACAGAAGCTCAGATAATCAGCCAAGGTCAGAGAGCTCCCACGGCAGAGAGCTCTTGCTCCAGACCGCCATGAATAGTACACGCTTTTTAAAAAATCTTCATCAGAGGATATTTTTACATTTATCGTCAGACAGAGCAGGAGGGAGGAAGAGAGAGAGACACATCGACTGGCTGCCACCTGCCCAACCTCAACCGGGGCCGGGGACGAACCGCAACTGAGGTAACATGCCCTTGGCTGGAATCGAACCCGGGTCTCTTTGGTCCACGGGCCGACGCTCTAACCGCTGAGCCAAACTGGCCAGGGCAGTACACTCTTTACTAAGCATGCCCTGCATGTTTGCTCTACTAGGCATGTCTTTGCACTGTATCACAGTCTTCCTAACTGATCTGTGTGGTGGGAAGGTGAAGCGATGTGCCAAGAGCCTGGAGCTGACCAAAGGAGCAGACTCCCATTATAGCCAGGCCAGCATTCCTCCAACCCTTTTGTGCACTGCCAACCACGCAGGAGCACCGTTCCGCCTCAGATCTCCACTTTCTATTTCGGGCCCCATCAGTGTTCTTACTGTCTACCGCCCTCTTGTATTCTTTTTTCCCATTGAATTTTTTTTTTTTTTTTTTTGATGGAGTGGGAGGGAGGGAGGGAGAGAAACATTGATATGAGAGACACATTGATTGGTTGCCTCCCGCATAACCCCAACCAGGACCAGGGATTGAATCTGCAACTCAGGTATGTGCACTTGACCAGAAATCAAACCTGAGACTCTTTGGTCATGGGCTGATACTCGAACCACTGACACAAACTGGCCAGGGCCCCTCTTGTATTCTTTCTTTCTTTCTTTCTTTTTTATCCTCACCCGAGGACATTTTTCCATTTTTTGTTCAGATAGAGTGGGAGGGAGAGAGAGAGAGAAACATCGACGCAAAAGGGACACATCGAGTGGCTGCCACCCGCTCGACCAACCAGGGCCAGAGACAAACTGCAACCGAGGTACACGCCCTAAGTGGGAACCGAACCCAGGTCTCTCTGGACAACAGGCCGATGCTCCAACCACTGAGCCAAACCGACCAGGGCCCCTCTTGTATTCTTAACAGAGGCTCTTGCCCTGTTCCTCTGATTCCAGTCTCCCCCAAGCCTTAGAGTGTTCAAGCACATTTATGACTTGTGGAAAATGGAATCAGGATTTGTTCAACAGCTGTAACTGGAACCCCCGTTCTGTTTATCTAAGATCCTGAACAAGCAATATGGACCAAGTTCCATTTCAAAACTAGATATTGCAAAACAGCCAAGTTATAGAAACTTCCATTTGAAAAGAACTTTGTAAGCAAAGTTTTTCTACCAAAAAAATGCCTGGCAGAATCATCAAAATTCCCCACATTTGTTTTAATGTTAATAAACAGCTGCTAATTTCCACCTACTGAGATGTCACAATCACAACAAAAGGTATTTTTTGAAACCTTCAGAATCTTTACTACTTAGAAACTATGTCCATTCAATAAGTCAAAAACTCTCTCTTTGATCTCATCTCCTCACCAATGGCTTAGAATAGCAATGTAAAGAGGACAGAAACTCAGCTGCTCAGTATTCTGGTATTTACATCTGTGAACAAGACCTCTAGAGCTCTCTGTATGTGCTGTATCGTCTGTATATTTCTAACTACAAAACTAAGGTATAGCATGTTGTCATAAGTAGTGCAGGTATTATATCTTATGTAATAAAATTTTATTGGAAGTAGATGTGACATACAAAAAACTGCATAAATCATAGTGCACAGCTCAAGGAGTTATTTCAAGTAACACACTTGTGTAATTTTTGTTTTAAGTGGGTTATAAAAACACAAGCCACCATAAATTACTAAGTCAAAAAATATTAAACATTTTACATTTTAGTACATGCTCCCTTAATTGTTAAAACTTAGCAAAAAGAAGCACCTTTTCAGAGTTTAAGAAAACAACCACCTCTGATGCAAATCCAACCCTGTTATGGGCCTATCATTATGCATTCTCTTCAAGTAACCCCCCCCCCATATCAACAATTTAAATTCTCCACATGAACCATTTATTAGAACAAACCTATGATCTAATTCCTAGCTCATTTCTTTTCATCGCGTCTAATAAGAAATAAAACCCTGTTCCCTCAGGGACATGGAGGTCCCTCATTTAAGGAGAGTTACCTGATGAGTTCAAGTCCAGATCACAGACAGGACAAACCACTTTCAAGACCGTAAATTAGTAGACAAGTTCTCTGGGTGACAGCCTTCTACGAACACTGCCCCAGAGAAAAGGAAACACTTCACCAGCCCTCCATGGGCGCCAAAATCCTTCCTGTAGGGCTCAGGGTCCTCTCTCAGGCCAGCTTCTTGAGCTCTGGATCCCTGGAAGAGTACCGATACTCTCCAGCCTAACCGTGATAGCACCCATTTTCCATGACAAACAGCCACTCAACTCCAGGTCTAACTCACTTCACCCCCCCCCAATCACTTATCTGGTCATATCATTCCCTTCCTTCTTCAAAATTCCACAAATCTACTTGTGGAAACACTAAGAGACTTTATTCCTCTAACTAACTTATAATACTTTTACATGCAAAATACTAACCTGACACAAAAATTCTATCAGGGACTCTAGCTAATGAGAGACTTCCAGACTCTCCACAGATCCTAGTTCACTTGGCATCCACAGCATCTGGCCCAGTGCCTGTCACAGCCTCCAATGATCAATGGTCAATGTTTGTTGCATGGATTTACAAGTGACTCAATACTTCCTTATCCTGCCATCATGCCCCAATCACACTCCAACGTGGGTAGCATCTTTTCAAACTCACAGTGCAGTCACCACCCCAGTTGAGATATAGAACATTTCCATCATCCCAGAAACTATCCTACTGTGCTTCCCTTGCCCCAACCACTGATCCCTGGGGGCTGTTGCTGTGCCAGGATGGCCCAGCTCCATTTACTTTGGAATTTCATGTTGAAGAGACCTACAGTGTAGTTCCTTGAGTCTGGCTTCTTTCACGTGCCACAGCATTCTAGAGATTCACCCACGCTGTTCCATGTGCCAGCATTCCTTCCTACAGCTGAGCAGTACTCAGGTGTGTGGATAGATCACATTTTGTTTATCCATTCATCTGCTGAAGGACATTTGGGTTGTTTCCACTTTTTGGCTATGAGGAATAAAGCATCTTGAACACCCATGTACCAGGGTTTATGTGGACAGATGTCTGGTTTCCCTTGGGTGATCCACGTTAAGAAGTGAGGCAGGCGGGTTGTACGGTGGGTGGACAGAAACTGCCAGACCGTCTGCCAAGGTGAAGGTCATTTTACACTCCCACGAGCAACACACGACAGTCCTAGCTTTTCCACATCCTTGCCAACACTTGTTCAAAGTTTAATTATCCTCTTTTTAAGTAAAATGCTAACCTCTTGGCAAAGAAAGGATTCCATATAAATGGTATTTTGATAAGTAATGAAAAAAAGTAAGCATGAAATGTCCATAATTAAGCTATCAACCCCAAATGTACTATGACTAGATTTTCAATAAATAAGCTAAGCCCACGATTTGCCAAAAGTTAGATGTGAAAAGGAGGCTTATTTCCCAGTTAATGTCTCATTTGTACTAATTAATTATGTGTGTGAGTCATGAGTCATAAAGCTAACAAAATAAAATATGCCTGAAAAGGTTATAAGAACTAGATTTTTAAAAAGATATTAAGAAATAACTCACTTGATAACCACGGTTGAAAACTTTAGATCACAAGCGTTGATAATATGGCTTTAATCAAATGTATTTTCGTCTCCCCAGGTAATGTTTTAAATATAATTTTGAAACTGGTATTACAACATTTCAGTTATTAAAAACATATAATAAAGTCTCTCAAAACAACCCACTATAGACAATTATGCAATATACACACTCCCACCCTAAGCCACTAGTGATAGTGTTTGTAAATTTTTACTCTTTTCAAACATTAGTAAGAAGACTTAGTTTTACATCCCATCTAATGTGCTACTAAAACATTCTGCCAGTACACATCAATGTATTTTTCTGACACATGCTAAAAACCAACAAAAACTCAAGTTTATTTGTGAAACACAGACTCGTCACCTTGTCCAGTGTCTGTTCAGCTAATGACTCTTCACTGTCACAGTTCTTGAAAAATTATGCCATTTTTCAGACAATGTTGTTTTTTTTTTTGGTATAAGGAGTTACCAAAAACACACTCAGTAATGTTCTATATGAAGTGATATTTTTGACATTACAGTTTCAGGCAAATAAACAGTCACCAATTCACTCAATGCAAGTGCTTTTCACCGGAGAACAGAATCCAGCACAGCTCTGATGTGTATGCACGTGGTACCTGAACACGTTACCAGGTGAGCATGCTCACCCAGTGACGAAGGGCAGGGGACGTCTTTTGCACCCTTTTGTCTATTTTGAAGTGCTCTCGGTTTAGCTCTTGTCACCCTAAAGAAGC